AGCCCTGGGTGCTGGAGCAGCCGTGTGGAGACCCCTGCCAGGGCTGAGATGCTTACACACTCACTGATTCGGCTTTCCTCCAGCAGTCAGCATCATAGTGTGTGTTTTGTGAGATGGAGGAGGGCTTTGTGGATTGGTGTTGGACACATGGGCTAATGTTGGACTTGTGGGCTTGGGCAGCACTGGGTTGGGATGTTTTCTTGATGTGTACTTACCCTTTAAATAAAACTCTCTCTTTTATTCACTAGAAGTCTAATGTGCTATCCATTTGGCTACAGAGCCTCCTAAAACGCTCTCTCTTATACATGAGTTTCTGTGGATTTGTTTCTCTAATTTACCCAGACAAACACAGGCCCTTTCATCACGATCGCCACCGGGAGGAAGCCTAGCCCACGCCCCCTCCCAAGACCAACATAGACCATCACGCTTAGCAGTCAGCTTCTCAAGATGCTGAAAGTAAAACTGTCCCCGGATGATAAAGAATCCTACACAACCCAAGCTCTCCGTAACATCAGGACACTGAAGCGGTTGCCCTCAGTTTTGTAAAGAATGTACTTACTTGTCAATACTGGACTTTGTATCAGCGATCTTGTTTAGGCTGGAAATCTTGAATCCATATGCATTGCCTCTTTGACCTTTATTCATATAATTTCCAAAAGCCAAAACCACTTCGAGCAACTGCCTCAGGGCACTGCTCCTGAAGACCTCTTCAGAGCCACATCGAATGGCTTCAAAACAAGAGACAAAACAGTGACAACTAAGACTTCCCAGAGATGCCCCTGGTATACCCACCTCCCGCCAGACAGACAGTGAAAGATGCAAGATTGGGTCATGAGACTACTTGGGAACACTTCTGAGACACCCCAAACTAGAGTCTACAAACAAAGGGGCTGGTGGGACCAGCTACAGTTGTTCAAGTTGACCAGAAGTGGCCGCAAAAGCCTGCTCTTACTCTGCTGTCTCCTCCGCAGAAGCACCAGACGTTGAGCGTTTGGCGCCACAACACCAGTGATTGCCTTTCTGACATTCCTTTGCAAACACTTACTTGCCTGGCTTCAGTCAGATCAACATGATGACCGATCAAGTCCACTGATTACAACAAAACAAAAGCCACCAAAAGTAAGGTTCTAGCCCTTGTGCTAAGGCTGTGAGAGTCAGTTGCTTTGCCTGCATTTTGAACCTTTACAAATTTAACAGCCTCAAAAGCAAACCATGTAACAGCCTCAAATCTTCCTTCAGGAAAATCTAGTAAGGCAAAGCAGCGATGCTAAAGCTAATTATAGGTTTAATAGGCTAAATTCATTCCTGACCACAGGCCGAGGTGGTTAAAGGCCTACCAGTGGACAAGAGCCCCAAAGGTGGGTTAGGAGCACCAGAGCCCAGGCCAGAGGAGCACGCCAAGGGCTGTTCATCGGAATTTCAAACTGCTCAAGTGAAAAGTCACCAAAGGGGTCGTGTTTACCATACACACTTGGGTGGCACTTGTAACTTGGCATTTCAAACAACACCGTTTCCCACCTAGGCAGCTTGATTTACCTTCCACTTTAGGCTTGACTTCTGCCACGCGCTCTGCAAACTTCTTTTTGAAGTATAGCGACTGCAATCTTTGCTGATAATGGTTGATTCTGTAAGAGCAAACACGGATAGTAACGGTTCATTTACTACAGACGAGGGACACAGAGGCACCTTGAAGCACTAACCTCCCCCCACCCCCACCCCCTGCCATAGCTCTTTACCCCACAGGTGCACAGATACTTTGGGTGCTGAGTCTACTTTGCCTAGAGAGCCACTTCCACTTAACCAGCAGGTGAACTTAGGTAACTGCAAACACCTTTAACTCCCAAACAAATAATGTCCCTAATGAAAGAATGAGAGCTGGCCACCATTAGCTCCCTCGGAATTCTCGTACCTCATCCCCCCACCCATTGGAACATTTAACTTATTTTTCTTTTTAAACCGCTTTATTGGCTGACAGTTCACATAGACGTATTGGCATCCAGTTTTAGTCACTGTCTCTGTGGATTACCTATCCTGAATTTCACATACAGAAAACCTCAACCATGGCAACAAAATACAACACAGAGAAACTTCAATCCAAAAGAATGGAGAATTGAAACAGGTCAAAAGGGAAAACAAATGGTGTTAAATGTCAATCTCTCTATATCTGTAGTGGAGCCCTGGTGGCATAGGGGTTACATGTTGGGCTGTGAACTGCAAGGCCAACAGTTTGAAACCACCAGCCACTCCTTGGGAGAAAGATGAGGCTTTCTACTCCTGTAGAGAATTACATTTTCAGAAATCCACAGGGGCAGGTCTACTCTGTCCTATAGGTCCTTATGAGTCTGAATCGATTCAATGGCAGTGAGTTTGAGCTAGCTGTAGCAATCCGCTTCCTAATGCATGCTGTAGGAGGGCAATCGGGTACCTCTTCTGAACACAGATGAAATCAAAGGGGTGAAAACATAAGAGATTCCTCCTCCTGCTGCAAATAAAGGGCAGAGTCCTATATACTTCTTCCCGGCTTCTTAATTAACAAGCCCAAGTTTTGTCTTTGGCAAAGGTGTAAAATCAAAATTGTCTCTAGCACCCTGAGTCTACTCACTTTCCTCCCCAAATCTTTCTCTCTCTGTTCAGTTCTCTCCTGAGCTCTGGTTTTGAGAGAGCAACAAGCAACAGCTGAGTCTCCCTCGATCCCCTCCGATGACTGCCAAGATAAGCTGCCCCACGCTGCGGAGGGCGTCCAGTGGGTTTGCCCATTCAAGCCTCCAGCACCAATGCCTCCCCTGTCCTTGTCCAGAGAATGAAGAGAACAACTGCCTCCCTAACCATCCATGCCGGCAACAAGGCTAGAGGGTCACATGGGACGGACACACTCAAAGATCCAAACAGCCATCAAGTGGCAATGGCAGCGAGTGGCCACTTATCTGTGCACACACAGGGTTGGCTGCTTGAGGCACGGTTCAGATTTTCACAAAATCCCTCTGTCCAACCGAAAAGTGGGTGAAGGGAGACGCTGGACAGGGCAAGATATGACAAAATACCAATTTATAAACTACCAAGGGCTCATGAGGGAGGGGGTAGTGGGGAGGGGGGGGGAATGAGGACCTAATGTCGGGGGTTTAAGTGGAGAGAAAATGTTTTGAGAATGATGTACAAATGCGCTTTACACAATTGATGTGTGTATGGATTGCGCTAACAGTTGTATGAGCCCCTAATAAAATGTTTAAAAAAAAAATCCCTGTCCTTTGGTAGCATACACAACCACGAGTTGAGATGTAAAAGATGAGATGGGACATGGCAGACATGAAGTGAGACACATGCTCATTCACCTAGGCTTCATGGGAAGAGCAGGCCTTTGGGGCGCAGAAGCGGAGCTGTGCTCTGGGACTGACTGAAAGTTTCAGGACCGACCACTGACCCTTCTCTAATGCAGGCCTAGAATGGCAAACAGACTCCACCCTCACGCCAGACCAAATTACTAAGCAGAGGCTGCCTGGGGGGCATTCTGGAGAAGGGCTCAGAAGCCTGCCATGGTTCTGTGAGGGAGACTGCCACCATCGATTAATGATGTCTGCAAGTGTCAGGATTTGACATCCGGCCTGAAGCTGCTCAGTGATGTGGGGTCTGAGGTCGGCATCTCTTGAGCCCATCATTCTCTACCCTTCCCCCGCTTTTATGACAGCCTTGAAGTGCCAAGGTGCTAGGAGGTGCGAGCTACCACCCCAATGAGTCAAGGTGGTGAGGGGAGAAACAGGGGAGCCAGAACCAAAGGCATGTGTTAATTAGGGCAGATCACATGAGCCCAAGAGGTCCAGAGGTAGAGATCGTAGTGAAGAAACCCTGACCCTGGTCACTCATGGTCACGGGCTCTCCCGAGTCAGTCTGACAGCCAGCGGCCCCATACTGACAGAGCAGAGCTATGTGCCATAGGGCTTCCAGGGCTACGACCTTTCAGAAGCAGAACTCCAGGCATTACTTCCAAGGTGCCTTGGGGTAGGGGGTGGGGGTGGGTTGAACTACCAACTTTTCCATGAATAGTCAGCACTTAACTATCAGTGCCCCTAGGAAGCACTGGTGGCACAGTGGTTTAAGCACTTGTCTGTGACTCAAAAGGCCAGTGGCTCGAGCCCACCAGCATTTCTTCGAGAACTGTGGAAATTTGCTTCTGTAAAGCTTTACAACCTTGGATACCTTACTGTGGGGTGGGAGGCGCAGGTCTCATCTCCTAAAGGGTGGTTCTGCGTCAGAATCACCTGACAGCATTGCGTTTTCAAGGACTTCCACTAGAATCTTAAGAGTTTTCAAAGTCAAGCTAGGTGGCCCAATCGTTCTCTTGAATTCCTCCTTCAGACAGGGCAGTGGCATTTGTCCTAAGAGTGTTTTCAAACTCACCGGCTCATCTCAAAGAGGAATCTGTCAGCCTTGGCCATCCGATCCAGTTCGTGCTTGTGCTCCTCCAGCAGGTCAACGTCGCTCTTCTCAGGAACAAATTTCAAGAGCTAAAAAGGAGACATACATATCAAAAGGGAGGAAGTCTCTGACATGCCTGCAGGAGTTTGCCGCCCTTGCAGTTAGTTTGTCCCAAGATGTTTGCCTTAGGAGTTCTGCTCACAGTGGGTGATTATTAAGATACAATCAGAATGATTAAAGGCTTCCGGGGGTTTTGTTTTTTTTTAACCTGAAAATAGTTCAATGGATATGACCCCTTTTCAGGCCGCCTTTCTGCTGGATATTGCCATTTTGATCGGAATGATGGAAGTTAATGGCCAGGACAGACGGCCCAAACTCCTAGGGTGGTCTTCAAGGCCATTCAGTTCCGCCTTCTCGTTCTAGATGTTGAGAAACTCAAGTGGGGAGAGCTCCACAGCTCCCTCAGGATCACAGAGCACATTCTCCTAACGGTCTGTCGGAAAGGGACCCTACTGAGGGCTCCTGACGCCCAGCTTTGCCTTTTCCTGTGGCCTCATGCTTGCAAGAGTCATTCCGTGTGCATTTTCCCACTTGATTTGCTTATTTATCTGATTTCTATCTCCCTGTTTTGTTCCACAAAGGTTGGGGATTGAGCTTCCCGATTCCGTGGTTTACTGCACGTGAAGTGAAGAAGGAAGGCCAACAGTCCTTGTGTGTGTAGGCTTGTGTCTCATGTGAGTCACTAAATCAGATGCCCCTGGATTTTCCTGTTTCTTTCTTCATTTTTTAACACAGTGACACTCCCCCCCCCCACCTGCTAAACTCTTGAGATCCTTCCCCATAACATAATATTGGTAATGGGAAGGAGCTTCAAGAAGTTTGTGGAAAAATGGAATGAAAAGATCATGGGAAGGAGCTTCAAGAAGTTTGTGGAAAAATGGAATGAAAAGATCATGGATTTTTTTCCCCATAAACATTTTGAAGATCCCCTGTAGAAAATTTGAGGTAGGCAGCCAATCTGGGTGCCACCAGCAGGGAAAGAGATGTAGAAAGACGGAAGGAGTAGAGGAAAGAAATTGGAAATACATCCCAATGAGAGAGGCTTGCTGGGGTATTGCTGGGTCCCGGGCGGCTGGTCTGCACAGCCCAGCATGTACACAAGGGGAAAATGGTGTCACTGGGGCTGGGGAAGAAGAAGAGGAACAGGGGAGGGGGCAGGCCAGGGAGCAGCAAGAAATGAGGAAGAAGATGATAAAGGCCCTATAGGAAGTTTAGACTTCATGTGGGGGACACTGAGATAAAACAGATTTTAAGAAAGGGAACAAATTTGAATTTTTAAAAGATGACCATACTTACAAAACAGCAGAAAAGCAACCAGAAAGAATCAAAAGTGCTAAGGGGTATGATTCGGCAACTAGGGCAACAGTCCAGGTGAGAAATCCTAGTGGCCTGGCCTGGGTGAGGGCACTGGACACATTCTAGAGCCATTCAAAACCAGCTGCTGTCCAGTTGATTGGGACTCAAGGCAACCCCATGTGCGTCAGGGTAGAACTGTGCTTCGTAGGGTTTGCAAAGGTAGTTTTTAAGAAGGAGGTCAGCAGGCTTTCTCCTGAGGCACCTCTGTGTGGATTCGAGCTTTTAGCCTCTTGGTTAACAGCTGAGAGTGTTAACTGTGTGCACCATCTGCTTGTTGATGTGTCGCTCCAGTGGGGGAGGTAATGGTTGAAGTTGAGGTCTGGGTTTCTACCTTAGGCAACTGAAGGTCATGAGCGACTGAGAAGAGATGGTGGGAAGTGGGGTGGAGTGACGAGAAGATGAGTGTGGTGTGGAAAATCCTAGCAAGGGAACCAGGTGGTGATTTCTAGTAAAGGTAGCTGGATCACTGGTCCTGAAATCCCAGAGAGATCAGTATGGCGCACAAAGCAATCGTGTTGGATGTGAAAGGCAGGTTACTAGGTGTGTGGATGTAAGATAATCAGGGGAAGTACCAAGTGAAAATTAAACAGGGCCAGGAGAGAACCCAGCATTTAAGGAAGGGGAACAGGCGACGAGGAGCCTTCAGAAAACAGCAGTGAAGGAGTAGCCAGAGAGGTCTCTGTGGAAGCATGGGGTCAAGGGAAGAAAGATTTCATCGTGGGAAGTAGCCAACAGTGACAGCCACCACCAAAACCTCAAGAAAGAACAGGAATGATAGCGTGTCTGCTGGCCTTGGCATCCAAGAGCTGTGGACATCTTTCCGAGGAGTGAGGCAGGCAGAGTGACGTGGATTGAGGAAGAGGGAATGGCTGGTGAGTGTGGACAAGCTCCCGAGAACTTTGGCTGTGTCAGGAAAGAGAGGAGGTAGCGATGTGGAGACACTGATTTCGAGGGGTGTGTGCGAGTACTGAAAGGGTGGACAGGGAGGACAAGCTGATGGAGATGCCACGGACTGGATGCCTGAGAGAGGGAAGGGATGGGGCAAGAGGAGAGGCAGGAGACACCTCCTCTTTCCTAAAGGGATGGGAGGGTGGAGGGAAACAGAAGTGGATGTATAGGATTTCACAGGTCTGGGGGCAGGAAGCTGGGTGTTCCAGATGGCAGCATCTAGGCATTTGTATTCCTGTGCATAAAGAATGAGAGATGATAGGTGTGTATATTTTCGGCCCTCTTTGGTGACAGGAGGGGTAACATGGTAGAGCAAGGACAAGGGACAAGTATGAAAAAAGGAAAAAAAGTCTCACCCCCCCTCAGCCCCTGATATCAGCTCCCCATTTCTTCCCCCTCCCCCGCCCCCCCCCCCCCCCCCACACACCCCTTTCTTAGACTTAGTTTAGATTTCTAGCTACTTAATAAACAAGAAAGCCCATTCTGCTCACTGGGGTCCTTGCACCGCTTTACCAACGTCCCCTGGGACTGTCTGGTCTCCACTCCCATTAGCTGTGTGAACCCACAGGCAGCACAGTACGAGGCTGTGTCTCCCAGGCTAAAGTCTCCATCCTCTCAGAGAAGAGGACAGGCTGTGCGGATCTTTTTCAGCGGCATGAGGCCTAAGCCAACGCTGGGGCATAAAGAGAAAGGGATGCGTTTGAAAGAAGAGTGTGCTCATCTCATCTGAGAGGACAAACCAAGGAAAACCAAACAAATCAAACTCGCTGCCGTCAAGTCGGCCTGACCCGAGCCACCCCAGGTACAGCGGAGAATTGACAGCGGCTGTCATCTTACCGAAGCCAGTTAACAGATCCAGTTTCCGTGGGACTGCTGGGTGGATCTGAACTGCCAACTTTTGGATTGGTAATCAAGGGACAGTCATTTGCACACCCAGACACCTAAAGGGGGTGGGGCCAATTCCTAAACTCTAAAGTCTCTGCCATCAAATCGAAGCTGATTCACCACGACGCAATAGGACAGGGTGGAACTGCTCCTGTGCATTTCTGAGATGGGTTATGGGAGTAGAAAACCCCAGCATTCTCCTGAGGAGCAGCTAATGGTTTCGAACTGCTGACCTTATAGGTAGCAGCCCAGTGCATAGCGACTACACCACCAAGGCTCCCAAGTGGGGGAGGGAGTCAAGAGCGGGCAGAGGGAAAATGGCACCTCGTTCGAGTAACGAGATGCTGGCTCCCGTGTTCTCAGAGGAGCCAGGACCCAAGGACCAGCAGTCACGATGGAGGGAGGCAGAGTACGGTGGGAGATGATGAGAGAGGGAGAGCAACGCACCCAGAATTAGCAGGAGAGACCAGGTCAGAAAGATCTTTCTTGGCAACAGCCTGCTTCAGTAGACTAATTTTCTTATGTGTTTATTTGAAGTACATTCTATTTGCTCGGAAAGCCCTTCTGGCAGGGTTTTGAAATCCTTTCCCTCAAGGAGGGATTTTGCTGGATGTAATTTCACAGTAACAGATCGTGTGGAATTTAAACATCGGCTTTGTACACAGAGCCCAAAGGATGAAGCCCTAGAGCAGCTCCACGCAGTCCTTCACGCTGGGCAGCAACACCCACCCCCACCCCCACCCTGCCCAGTGTCGAGGGCTCAGGTCACCCGGGAGCCACGGAGGGCGGCACTTAGCGGGGCCCACACTGGCCGCACTCAGGCCTGGTTGGCTGGTCTACAGGGCGGGAGGGGACGCATGAAGCCCTCGCTTCAATTACTTTTAATGTTTAGATTTAAGAAACACTTAGAAACTTCTCACACACAGGACAACTGGACTTTAAACACAGCCATCGATTATTCTGAAAATGAAGTCAAACTTTGAAAGGACGACACATCAGGGTTTCTCTCCCAGCACAATCGGCCCGGTGACCATGCAGCAGCATGTCACTCCTTCTGGCTCTGTGCCCGAGGCCCTGCACGGAAACGCCGGTGCGCATGCCCAAACGCTCTACCCAAGGTGCCTCACTGCTGGGATCACCCTTTGACTCTCCCCTGGTGGCGCAGTGGGTGAAGCCAGCAGTGTGTACCCACCAGCTGCTCTGCGGGCAAATGATGAGGCTTTCTATTCCCATGAGGAGTGACGGCCTCAGAACCCACAGCAGTTCTCCCTGTCATGCAGCGTGGCTCTGAGCTGGGCCTCTCGATGGCAGCGAGTTTTGCCTCTGCTCTGGGAGCTGAGCACACCTACAGGTGAAGGCCTCGGGCTCAGAAGTCAGGCTTGCCTGTGGCATGGTTGGTCCACAGAGGACCTGGGCCTCACAAACATAGGCCTCTTGATGCAAACCGCTCAGAATATGATTTGGTCCCAAGGATAGTGGGACTAAACAACAGGGCCGTTGTTCTGAGAGGCCTGCCACAAAGCACCCAGTCTGGGGGATGGTTAGTGGGGTGATAATCCCCAGCATACCAGTAAGGTCAACGACACCGTTATTTGAAGGGCAACGAGCAGAGCAGAAGACTCTCACATGACACGGCTGGAATGGCTACCGAGGGCCTGGCGCAGAAGCACTTCAGTGAGAGACCAGGCGGCCACAGCACACTTGCTACCTGACCACGGACGGCCAGCGTGATGTCCATGTGCCAGGAACAAGCGAGTGCACCGACAGCAGGTGAGACTGCCTACTGAGTAGCCCGGCATTTGAATCTGTTGGTGTGTACAACACAAGAAGGTGCCACACAACTGAGCCCCAAGAAATTTGCAGCCAGCCTTGCTGGCTTATCTCAAATTTGAGGATCTAGCTGTGGAGGGCGGTGCAGGGTGCTCAGCAGCAGCTTTGAGGTTGGGAGGAGACCAGGATGCCCTCTCCTGGGTGGAGTAAGAGGGGCGAAATAAATCCATGTACGCAGCACATACACCGTGAGCTCAGAGCGCTGCTAGGAGTCCAGATAGTCCAGTGTTCTGCTCGTGTTTGTAGATTTATACAATTTACCGAGGCAAACGGGAACCCGTTGTCATTGTGGGTTCTGGGTTGTGCTGCTAGCTGCAAGGTTGGTAGGTTCAAACAAACCACCAGCTGCTCTGAGGTCAGAAGCCAAGGCTCTCTACTCCTGTAAAAAGTTATAGGTTTGGAAACCCACAGGAAGGGACCATTCTACTCTACCTTATAGGGTCGCTGTGCATCAGAATGGCCTCTGTGGCAATGAGCATGGTTTTTGTTTTTTTACCACTTTCTCCTGCGTCATCATACCTGGGCTTGACAGCCAGAATCTGGCAGGGCAGGGCTCATGGGCTCTATCTGGGAGCTCACCTGTTCCAACATGTCCTTGGGGAGATCTTCCTGCTCATCCATGGTTAGAATTGCCCGTTTGATCTCATCATTGGAGAGTTTTAACCTGGAGAAAGAAGATTTTGTTGTTAATTGTGGCTTGAGGACCAAAATGTAGCACAAGACTCTTCATCTCGCTGCTCCAGCTGCAAGTTTTCAAGTAGTTTCCCACCCCACCCCCTCAAAATCGCTCAGTGAAAGCTTATTTCCTGACAATATTGCACCTAAAAATAGTGTCCTGAAACAGCTTCCATGTTCCTTCAGGGCTTGGTCATATTCTGCTGACACAAGAAGACACAGCTGTTATGTCCCAACAGTGCATTCCCACAAGGAAAGGAGCACCGCTCCTTTTTATTTTCCACAAAGCGCCGAGAATTGCAGGTGAGAGGAACGCTGAACTCCTAACTTGATTATGTGCCAGGAGAGTGGGATTAAGATCTCAAGGCAGTTGAATATGATTGCTGGATAGTTGAGCAATAATCAATGCACAGAATAAAAAGACATCTGCACTTCACGTATTTTATTCCACCTGAGCCTCAAACGAATGGTGGTGCTCATGTTTTTAACTGACGAAGAAACTCTGGCTCCGAATGGCTCTGTGATTTGTCCCAGTCCAAGCACGACCATCACTGGACCTAACATGACCTCTGATGGCCAAAGCCAAACTCTTTTCAAGAATATCGCTTTCTCAATTAAAATCTCAGAGGGAAGAATGGAAGCAAAAAACGCAAATCCATTTTTCTGTTCTCTGTCCACCCTATGCTTAAAGGATGCATGGATATATTGAGAGATGTATGTCCTGCCAACGTCAGGACAACAAGGTACAGCAATCTAAGAGTTGTGAACTTGAACGTCCTTATTGTGCATTTATTATGGGCCACCCGCTGCCTTGAGCCGGAAAAGGAATCTTAGTCTAACCATTGGCTGTGAAAAGGGAATCATTCCTTGGTGTTCTTTGTAAGCGTTAGACACACGCATTCTTTTAAAAACCTTACTTCCTTACAGCCTACCACGGACGTGGCGCAGTAATGCCACTTGAGCAGCACTTCTACTCTTGGCTTTACCAGAGGGATCCCACTTAGGGTGGAAGATGGAGAAACACACAGACAAACGTGCAGAGAAAGATGTACACATGTCACATCTGATGCTTGAAAGCAGGGGTGTTGTCATCAGCCAGGCAGGGCCCTAGTTCTGGCTCTGACACTTACTGGCCAGTATGGCCGTTGGGAAATACTTATTCAGCTTCAGATTTCTTATCTGTAAAATAGGGATCATAACTACATCAGAGGAAAAAACAAACGGAGTCTTTGGTGAGGAGTAGTTGAAGTAACCTGTATAACATGGTTAGCATAAGATGGCTAGCCATAGAAGGGGCTCTGTAAACGAGCAGGCTGGTAACCAAAACGCTGGCATTTCCAGTTCACCCAGAAGTGCCTGGGTGAAGACAGCCCTGGAGATCTACTTCTAAAAACCAGGCCTCAAGGCCTCATACGGATCTCAGTTGTACTGACACACGTGGGCTCACCATGAGCTACAGTGGACTTGGTGGTAGCTGTTTTTTCTACTACAGGGCTGGGCTTGGTGGGAGGGTACAGGGTACATGGCTGGGTACAGGGGGAGGGAGGGGTCGGGAGTACTTTTATAACTTTAATTAAGGTTCAGGCATCTGGTCCTCAAAGAGTGTTATATTATGGTCATTATGAGCATGCCCCAAAGCATGCTCATATTTCACTGCGTTTCCTTTCTGCATACACTCCTAGTAGGCCTGAGAACTGGTAATGAAATTGGAAAATGTGGTCCTTATTTTAATCTTAGGAGCTCTGGTGGTATCGTGATTACCGCATTGGGCTGCTAACCACAAGGTCACCAGTTCAAAACCATCATGTTCTCCTTGGCAGAAAGACAAGCCTTTCTACTCCCATAGAGTTAGGGTTTCAGAAACCCACAAGGGCAGTTCTCCTCTGTCCTTGTTGGGTTGCTATGAGTTGGATTAGACTTGAGGGCAGTGAGTTAATTTTAATATTTTAAACATTGGGAGAAATCAAGTAACAAGCTGAAACACCCTTGATATAAAGTGTTGTAAAGCACACACTCACCCATAGTTTCGTGAGAGGATCAAAACTGTGTATATGTGTATGGGTGTGTGTGTGTGTGTGTGCGTGTGTGTGCGTGTGCATGGTGCGCGTGCTGGGCAGGTGATGGTGGAAGTGGGTGCAAACAGTACATGAGGTTTGGTGAAAAGAGGAGTAAAAAGGCCCCAGAGGGAGACAAGAACTAGCCAGTGGGGCCAGACAAGCCGCACTCCACTGTAGACAGACCCGTCTCCTTGTCCTTCCCTCCAGATTGGACACAATTTTGTTAAAATCGCCCAGCTGACTATGTAAACCGCCTGCCGTTTCCTCTATCCACAAGTAAGAAAGGATGGAACCAACTTTGGGATCCTGTTGTAAATACACTGTTCCTTTCTGCTCTATGTTCTTAACCCCAAACATAGCATCAAAACGCTGAATGGCCCATGTTAACGGTAAGGTTGGCCCCATCACCTGACCCTGTCAGACTCCTGTGCGGTGCACACCTTCCCCGGGACCAGCCTTGCCTCAGGAAGTGCTCACCAGAACACCTTGCGGGGGAAACCATTGAGCTACATTACAATGGGTAAAGTAGCCCCAAACAAAAACCTGCTGCCAATGAGTCAATTTTGACTCCCAGTGACCCTGCAGGGCAGAGGAGGGGGCCTGGGGGTTCCCAAGGCCTGTAAACGGTTAAGGAAGCAGAGTGACAAGTGGCTTTCTCTCACGAAGCAGCAGGTGGGCTTGAACCATTGCCCTTTCACTTAACCACTGCCACCAGGGCCCCTGAGTGAAGGACAACAGGGGGAAAACCAACCCACAGAATCCATCTTTCATTAGCATGTGCTCTGGGGAGTAGTCCTAAATCCCAGGGCGCTAGCCGGGCACTGCTTGGCTGTGTCCTACGTCTGGTCGCTGTGAGTCAGACCGATTTGATGAGACCTCACAACAACAGCAAAGGCTTGTGAGGAGTCCTCAGTGATGCCACATGGTGCCTAGGTCGGCTGCAAAATGAGAGGTTGTAGGTTCAAGTCTACCCAGAGGCACCTCAGAAGAAAGTCCGGAGAATCTCATTCTAAAGCATTGAGAACCCTATGAAGTATAGTTTCACTCTGAAATACGTGGGCCACCGGACTCAGCACCAACTTAGTGGCCACTGGTTCCTTAAAGGCAATGCAACTACAAACACCATGGTGAAATGAACACTGCCAGGGAAGCGTTAAACCGCCATTAATGAAAACCAAATGGTTGCGCAGACATCTACAATCACCCAGAGAAGTGCTCTGCTCATACGGAAAATAAATAGTAAATTAGCTCTGTGTCCTTTTCACACTGGGTTGAAGAGACCATTTTATGGGCACCAGGTCTGCTGAGCCCCTCTGTTTTGCATTTAAAAGAAAAGGAGTTGAAGATCAAGTGAGAACAATACTCCAAGTATCAGATTTGCATTTCATTAGCTCTCCATATGGAGGGCAGAACTCGGAGCTTTTGAAATTGTATATATTTATGCTTCTCGGCCCCCAGAGGCTGTCTGGACTAAACACTAGCTCTAATTCATAACAATTTTGGTTTCTCTTAATGTGGCCCGCGAAGAGACTTGAGACTTTAATGGATGGTACTTAAGGAAATCTACCTGTCAACATGCCGCCTTGCACGCGGCCAGTTGGATCAGACAAAGAAATTACCTTCCAGGAAAGTGGAGAAGGACATGCCGCCCTAGGGGTGGGGGTGGGGGTGACTTCTATAGGTTGGTGACTTCTTAGGATCACCTGCCATCCACAGAATGAGTCTCTAATCTCTGTAATTTAAGGACCCTACTAATTCTAACCCCTTAATTGCTTTTAAAGCTTGGCAGCCGGTCTGGTGTGCCAGAGGGCAGTAACTCCTGAGACTTCACCGGGAAGTGCTTTATGAGGCAGGAAACAAACCAGCCACCTTAAATGGCGTTTAACTCTACCTTGCTCTACCCAAGTATCGCACATGTTTGCCAGGAGAATTCGAACTAGAAGCGTAGTTAAAAGGTGAATTGCTAGCTCAAGGTTGGGCCTTAGCTCTGCTTTAGTGGACTTAAGCCAAATCTCTCTACTTTAAAGCAGCTTTTTGTGGTTTACTACACTCTAGCTGCTGTGTTAAGTGGGTGTCTGGGAAGAAAACCAAGGGCACAGCATTTTGTAAAATTGTATTTTAAATGAGTTGTCTTGTGGTACAAGCCTGTTCCCAAGTGTCTCTCTCTCGTTCTTCTTTCTTTCCAAAAGGCGCGCATTTGGAGGGAAGAGAGGAGTGTTTTAGAAAATAGAGTAAACTTTAACATTACTCTCTGCCATCTATGTACGGGCAGAAGGAGCTCAGTATGCCAAGGTCAAGGTCAGTGGGTCTCATTCTAAAGTATGTGTGCCCGCTCAACCCCTTGCCCTCTGTGAAAGGCATGGTGCTTTTTCTGTTGCCAATGCTAGCCCTCGGAGCAATCCCAACCCCCAGCCAGAGCCGTGAGCAACCTTGGCCGTATGCAGGCAGGAGACGTGCCTGGCCCTTCACCCCTGCCTTGACTCTGACATGAGAGTCTTTCCCCAGCCTACTCATCGCCCGACATGCCATAACATGTTCCCCTGTGACCAACGATGCTACCGACTCTCAAGTCATGTGGGTGAAGGAGAGCTTCACAGAGCAAGCAGACACCGAGGGCACACTGTAGTTACTAACACACACCCTGCAGCAAGGCCTCCAGGGTGGAGGAACTTGAAGTCCTGACTGCATGGCTTGGAAATCAATTCATAGATAGATTAGATAGATAGATAGATAGATAGATAGATAGATAGATAGATAGATAGATAGATAGATAGATAGAAGAGGTTTGTCAGGAACAAAAGAAGACAGGGTAGACAGGTAGGAAATCCTGATGCCATCTTTGAAACATTCCTGTTCATGGTTCCCGTGCTGTAAGTCTACCACCATGCCCACTCCAGGGTTTCTTCACTCATCTCCACTCTCTCCCTTACCATGTCTTATCTGGACAACAGGCAAAGACTGCCCTTGCTCCCAGCTTTGGGCCCCTTCCAACTTATTCTGTATTCCCCTGAGAGACCAGCCTTAAAACCCTGTTAAAACAAACACTTGTTCTGAACTAACTGCACTGAGTCTCAAGCCCATGGATAGGCCAATATGGGCTGCCACTGATCCAGCAGCTACTGTGTCCAGGTACCTTCCAAGGCTATTGGGGCTTCTAGCCAATATAAACTTATGAACTCCAGTTTATTGAGCAGAAGGTGCTGACTTGAACCCACCCAGATTTCAGGCTATCCTACTTAGTCTGATTTAACCCATGTGATCTCATGAGATCCAGTAGGTAATTCTCTGCTACAATCACAGGACTCTGTCAGCTTTGCCTAGTCCCTTTCCACGCTCCTGCGGCATCCCCTGCCCCCTCCAGATGCTGTCCTCGCCCCTCAAGGCCAACTCTCTGGGAAAGCCTGCTGGGCCTCTCTCTGTCTTTGAAGTACTCCCTCCGTCTCCTTCTCTGCCTATGACTTGAAGCCCTGCAGACCAGCCACTCCCAGAAGAAAGACGGGGCCGTCTGCTTCTGTCAAGATTTACAGCCTGTCCTGTAGGGTCACCCTGAGTCAGAACTGAGTCAACAGCCACAGGGAGGGCATCCAACCTAAGACCAGGCACCGCCCCCACTCCCCCAGCCCCCAAAAAGAAAAGAACAAGAGAAGAAGAAAAGAAAAGGAAGCATGCTTCACAGAGGTGGTGATTGGCAAATGACACCGTGTGGAACATACTTTCATCTTAATTCCGGCCTCCTGCACTTCCAGTGAGCATGCAGGCCCCTCCTATGTGCATGAATGCATGATTGCTGAGGAGGGAAATAGGCGGTCTGATAAACTGTCTGCTTAAATAAAAACAACTCAAATTCAAAACCGCTGCATTGACTTCATCATCTCCACCACACGTGTCAGTCATGTGCTTTCCTGACAAGACAGTAAGACTAATTAATGGCCACCGACCAGACAGCCTGGACCCATTGTGAGGGCAGAGGTTTGAGAACCTGATCAATAAGACTGGATGACTGCACAGTCAGCTGGGACTCCAGATTACTTTATTATGCACAGCACACTTATTAATAGTGCTCACTGTGATAACACTCACTCATTAAACTGGATTTTAATTGATACCCTAATAGCTATGAGGCAGTTCTGACATTGTCTTCTAGGGAGAGTTTAGATACATCCAAGTTCTATGTTCCCTGACTTTTGAGGTAACAAGGGAATTAGATACCACAAATATGAAACAATTCCTTCCGTAATGGAACGGGGAATTTGCCAGAGAGAGTTGTACGCTTATCTGTCACTCATGCAATTATCCTGGTAGGCACCTAGCACTGAGAGTATCTGTCTGGGAGAAACTGGGTCACTTTTTTTTAACATTCCGACAGGCACATAAATGCTATATTAGGTATAGAGTGACAGATTCCTCTGTCAAGTTGTTTGAGTATGTTCATCTGGACAGCAAAAGCAACCAAAACAAAACAAAAAACACGGCGAGCTGAAAGGGGAGGCACTTTAGAATAAAAAACTGTGCTTTTATTTATAAATTTGTTACACAGAAGGAAGCAAAATAATCTGCATAGACAATAGAATAGGGGGGAAAAAGTAGACCTCCATATTATTTGCAGTGGTGCCTTCTTAAGACTGATATTTTGTCTAATCAGACCACGTGTTCATGGATCCAAAGTGGGATAATCCCAAGCTCGGCCGTGCACACAGCATCCAGCGAGACGCAGAAATGGACCGTTAACAGCAAGGTTCACCTTGCCTTACTAGTTGTATTAAAATTCAGTGACCCCACGGCACTTTAAGTTCTCTTTCGCTAAAAGAAACACTTGTTTCCCAAAGTCCTGTTTATCTGGCTAACAACCAAGCTTCCATACTGAACACCACGCTGCAGTTCTTCATGCTGAAAGAAGGACCCTGAGACCAACTGGAAAACAGCCCGCCGCGGTCCCTCCTCTCTCCTCCCCTTCAAAGAGAAGACACCTGACACCAGCCTCGACGCACGTGCGACGTGCTTTCTAGACTAACTCGTGTGCCTTATCCCTAAAGCCCCCAAGCTTGCGGTTCTTTTCATCCACCTCCGACGTGGAAGTCCCTTTAGAGAAGAAACTGGCGACGACGGAAAAGCTCCGTGCACCACTCACTCCACACACGGGCTGAAGCTGCACTCAGACTCCAGCCCCGACTTCCTTTCTTCTTTTCAAGCTCCAAGGCTGGGGCGGTTCACTGATTATGAGCCAGGCTTTCCAACAGGGCTGAGCTGCACACATTAGCATTTCATTGAGGTTGAAGATTTACACTTCGCTTTAGTTACAAAGATCCAAAAAGATCATGCAACCCTATAACCTCTAAGTATCAAAAGGCAATATTAGAAAGCAAAATAAAGCAGAGAGCCCCATAACCTTGATCCCGACACTGGTGCCGAATGGCAAAGAGCTCTAAAGCAGAGAACAGACCAAAGTACAGCGCTATTATCTAGTTTGTCAATAAAGCCCACTGTACAGGCTCGTGGGGGCGGGGGAATCAATTTGGGATATTCTGATTTTCAAATTTAAAAATCTGTGGAAATTAAACTCGAAGGCAGTAGCGATTCAGCTCTTATATAGTCCACCGGGAAAACTAAGCACAAGAGTTTCTCCTTGCCACATGCAGTAGGAACACAGAGAAATGTATCTCAGCAGAGTACAATTGAAAAAACAGCAAACAGTACAAAACATGTGGTCGTGAGCCAAATAACAGCCAAAAGTTGGTCCAACTACTGAAACGCGCATTCGACAGCAGCAATACCTCGAGAGAAGGATGTTGCAGTTCTGGGCTCTGCGACCATCAATCACCGACAGCTCCTTGACTTTAAATTTCGAACTCAGTGTGTCATCAATGGCATCTGCTTCTTTCTATAAAGAGCACAAAAGACATCCATCAGAGCCAGTGACAGTCAGACTTCAGTTTCTTTCCACGTTCTGCTCGCACGCACGCACGCAAAGCTGGGATGATGAGGTGGGGTGTAACAAGGGAGACAGGGGAATGGAAGGAAACAAAGGCTGAATTCTCGTCGGCAAAGGCAGATAATAAGGAAAGCTGACCACCCACATCTGAGCAGCATTGTTTGGACTACAAAGTGCTTGGGAGTTGGAGATGCTCACTGTGCACAGATTACCAGGGAGTGGTACCCTCCCTTTGTTCCCTAAGTCCCCACAGATAGCTAACAGAAGAACTGTCACTATGAATCAAGCTTAGCGGAGGCTGGCCATTGCTGCTCCAGGCATTTGCAGGGCACATTCACCCTAGAACCATTTGTATCCTGAGCACTCAAAAAAGCAAAACAATAAATTCTCCCAAATGGCCTTAAGTACAGCACAAGGGTCCCAAGATCAGATGGTACCTCTCCTTACGCTGGGCTTCATAGACAACGAGAGGGTGGGGAATAGTTCAAGGCATTCAATTAATTTACTGGAATTAACAATAAAGGATGAATTGCATCCTCTGCTGCAATCTATATAGAAAGTGATAGGAAAGGATGGCCAGTCATCGTTTTTGGTGGGACAGGCACAAAACAATTATATGTGAAGTAGTATTTAAGTAAAATGAGCATCAGAGGTATTGATGATAATTTTTAAAAATTCAAAGAAAAAGATCCACTTTATATTTATCATTGTTTACTGATATATTATCAATCCTGGTTTTATTAGAGTTCAGGATCAATGGAAACCATGAATGGTATAATAGTTTAAGAAACACACACAATATGGAATTTATCATACAAAGAACTATGGGATCAAATTTCAGTTGTCTCTTGCATTGAGATTTCAGGCATACCCCCTCCAGATACTCAGTTAAGAGCCAGAAGACCAATATAAACTGAAATATACATTGCACTCTGCCATCTAAAACCAAAAGGGATAACCAAGAAATTCCAAGCTTAGAGTGAGCTGAGGTTTAGACTCTAAATGTTAGAGTTACCCAAGTGAGGTAGTTAGTTTATTGTGCCAACTTGGCCGATAAACAAATGTGGAGTTAATTGAAGGGCAGAGGGATAAATGGCTCAGTGAGCCTCGCCTTTCTAGTTCTCGGGTCTCTTGCTTTGTGATAGTTAGACCAGGGTGCAGCTGCCTTAGCCAGTTCTCTGCTTCAGCTGGCAAGGCTCATTTCCTGCAAGACATTCCCAAGGAGAGGTCACATGGACCTACCCCGATGCAGCCCTGGGTGCTGGAGCAGCCGTGTGGAGACCCCTGTCAGCGTTTAGATGCTTACACATTCACTGACTTGGCTTTCTTCCTGCAGTCGGCATCATAGCGTGTGTTTTGTGAGATGGAGGAGGACTTTGTGGATTGGTATCAGACATAATGCTGGATTTGTGGGCTTGGGCAGCACAGGGTTGGGATGTTTTCTTGATGCACACTTAACCTTTTCATAAAACTCTCTTATACATGAGTTTCTGCGGATTTGTTTCTCTAAGGTACCCAGACTAATACAGCAAGGTTTAGACAGTAGTAGCTCACACTTACCTGCTTGGAGTTACTGTTCACAAAGAAATCCTACAGCCATGGCAGAAGCATGGAAAAGGTAAACCAGACACATGCAGTTCAGAAATGAGAGCCATAACTCAGGGGAACATCCGAGCAGTCAGGGGGAATCAGTGCTACTGGGCAAGGGGCAGTTTGTGCCTCTGGGCCCATCTCAAAGAGCCGGTGGAGATGAGAGCGCCTGAATTAAGATACAGTGACTGGCACTGTATCAGACATTCAGAGTAGTGCAAAAGAAAGGCATTTTGCTCTGCAAGGAGCTCTGTGGGGGCAAAGCAAGGTCAGGAAAGAGCTCAGAAAGACCCAAGCTGAGCAAGGAGCGGCAAGGGTCCCATTCACTCAACGGGGTGCTTTTCCTCGAAGCAGTACATCAAGCCATGTCAGCACCGTGGGGAGACCACTCCCATAGTCACGGATGACCACTGACACATGCTTTCTTACTTAAAAAACAAACAAAAAACAAACATGTTGGTGAGCGTGAGGTGGACATGATCTCTTGTCTTCTCATGTCATAGGAAGGATGAAGGTACAAAATGACAATTTCAAGAGGACAGGTCAGTCACACGAAGGGGCTTCAAGGAGTTTGTGGAATACTAGAATGAAAGAAAAGATCATGGAATTTGTCCATGACCTTTTTTGAAGCCCCTTCATATTAACTCTCTCAAGGGTCCAAACAATGTCTTGTGGGTGCTGTGGAAATAAGGCAGAACACCAAATTCAGCGATAATGAGTGGTCGGTGTGGTGTGGAACCATCGGTGGGCCCTGTCCCAACAGCCTCAGGAGGGCTCAAGGATGTGTGGTCCACAGCCTCTCCTGAAATCATTCCTAAGAAAGACATGCAGTGAAGACAAGGCAAGAGAGACGAGCTGTTGTCCTGTGATAAGGATGTTACACCTTTTGTTGCCTATTTCTGGAGTGCTGGAATGTGTAAGCCTTTAGTGTCTGTGTAAAACACACCGTGGCTTTTGAGCCAAAGGCTTGCCCCGGCAGCACGCTGGTCAGCAGATTCCTGGAGTTCTCGCTGGTCTTGACAGCCCTGCCAAGGCCAATTTAACACAGCCGAGCTGCTTCACATAATCCGTCTAGCAGGAAACAAAAACGTGTCTTCCCCTTACTCTGCCTGTTCAAGAAGGGGCTGCTTCTCTCAAATGGCACTCAGAAAATATATTGATCACCAGAACAAATCTTTCTTCCCCTCTGTTGTCCTTTGTCTCTGTTGCAACTCTGAAGTTTTCACTCTCCCAAAGCTCCTTAGAACTGTTCCCTCTAAAATTGGTTCCACTTTCACAGGCGAGAAAAGACTGGGTGAAACAAATTCCATGAAGATGTTTTTTAACCTACTTCTCTCACTTAGAGAGAGACAATTGCTTGCTGCATTCAAATCCTGCTCTCACTGGTCTTCAGAGAAGAATCTTTTACAAAATTCTTTGGTAACTCCTATCATTTCAGTTCACACAGCTAGGAAGTTAAGACTTCTAACCTCTAGTGTGGTGGGTTGTGGAATCAGGCAACTGTCATTACCTGGATGGACAGCCTTGGGCTTAGTCTCTCTGTAAAATGAGGATAACAACTGATTATTGTAAGAACTAAATATGGCCATGTAGAAGCACATGTGTGATCTGAGGATTGTAAATAATAAAACCCAAATCCAGAGGAGGAAATAGTATCAGAGTTTAAACTGCGAACCTCCGGTTTTCAGAAGGCTATGGATGAAAATAGAAGCCACAAATCCATCTGAAAGGTCCCCCCAAAGTCAAGTCTCCAGTGAATCCCCTCTGATCATAGTTGAGGAATATGAATAGCCTTGCTATATCATACAGAGGGCATTATCAAGTCAATGATGGCAGATGTAGTAAGGTTAAAACCCCTACCATTTTATCTCCCTTTTGACTCATTTTAAAGTTGTTTCAGTTAATTATTTTCTGCTTTCTCTTTGATTGAGGTTTCCTGATGTTTTGTCCGCTCATTGCTATTGGTTTTGTTTGTGTGTTTGCTTTGCATGATTGTATCTTGTTTTGCATGAATTTCTGTATATGAAATCCAGGATAAGTAGATGTACAGAGACAGCAACTGTATAGGGGCATGGCAGCGGAGGATGGGTGGTGGTGGGAAATGGGGAGCTAACAACTAGTACAAGAAGAAAATATTCCAAAATTGTGGTGATGCTTCTAATTATGACTGAACAGTTAAAACGGTACGATGTGACATATGTGCCAATGAAATCATTCTAAAAATAAATGATATCATGCATAAAAAGCATGTTGTATTGTACCTGACACACATTCATGAGTTCAATACCTGAAAGCTATCAAACAACACAATTATCTCTTCCAGTTCATGATTGAGTCTCTGTCTTCCCCTTTTGTTGTTTTGTGAGGCGTTGAGACTAGCTGGGCAAGATAGCCTCATTTGTAACCAGCAGCAGCCAGAAGCCTGGCAACCTTAGAGTTAATTCTCATTCAGAGTGACCCCATGGGATACAATGGAACTTTCCCACTGGGCTTCCTGGGCTGTCGTCTTTGCAAGACCACAGTAGGAGGTCTTTTCTCTTGCGGAACTGCTGGCCACTTCAAACTGCCAACCTTTCAGCTAGCAGTCCGGTGCTTAAACCATTGTACAACCAGGGCTCCTTTCAAGTGTGACTGTCAACAGCTCAGAAATGCATCCTCTCTGTCCAGAGGTGGGGATGGGAACTTGATGAGACAGTGTGGGTGTGCACTGTTTCCTTTCGGTGTCCTTTGATCAAAACATTGGGAGCAGAATTACAAAGCCTCCGAGTTTGATTAGAGGGTGATGTTCAAAATGATGCTGCGTCCAGGACCACGTCAAAAGAGTTCACCTTCTTTCTGAAATAAGAAGCTACTCAAAAATTAAGAGGGAAAGAAAGCTACTACTAATTTACTTTGGGCCAAATATACAAGAATCATTTCTATTTGGCTCCACCCCACAGGCTGTCTGACTTTCCCAGATGTTGGTTGGCATCGGACCAGGGCTCCTGTAGGCATCAGGGCTTGGCACACAGACGGAGTGCGGAGTTGAGTTTTCAGGAACCAACAGACAGGGTCCTGCAACAGAACAAGGACCGAGCACTTCGTGGATCTGGGCAACTCCTTTTTCAAGTGACAATTCTTTGGAGGTTGGTGCAGCTTTGCAAAGATGATTAAATCTGGGGTCCCACTGCAGACAATGTCTAGACTCATATTTAATATACAACCCTGTCCTCGACTAATTCTGGCCATGGTGCCCAGTTTTAGAAGCCCTAACCTCTAACTTTAAGGGATTAAAAAAAATACTGTGAGGTGGCTTTTAAAAGTTTGTGAGAAAATGCCATTATTCTTTCTATTTTTCCGTGAACTTTGTGAAGGTCTTTGTAAGCACAGCGGAGATCCCCTCTGCGCCTTTCAGCGCCAAGCCTCCGGGACACAATCACTGCAACAAAAACCATAAGTCATAACCACCTTTTCAATGTGAAAATTGGATGGACGAAATCACTTATTTTTAAGAGAGAAACCACTCTCTTTGATTACTTAATATCAGAGGATGCCAATGAATGAGGCCAATGAATGGTCCCCAATATTTGTGGAAACTGAAGTGGTAGTCAGGGGCTCCTCAGCTCTCTAGAGCAGACTGGGGAGGCAATGCTATCTTAGGAGCTGACGGAATCCTTAAGGAAGGGGTGTCCTTAGACAAAGCGGAGACATGGGTGGAGATAGTGAGCTGCTACTTTGTTGCTAAACTGATATGGACTCTTGTACCCAAAGCACCCTGCCTGCACGCACTCTTCTTCTTAACACCCTACGCATAATTACTTGGATCAGGAGAAATTAATTTATAACACCTCGGGATGAAAATTCCCCATAAAATGAGGTGACTATTATTCAATTGCACCAGAGATAGTACTACAATGTGCTACGCAGTGTCTTCAAGTGAGTCTTTTGTGGGTGAAAAGAACACATAGTGTAGTTTAAATGGGAAAGGGGGTTCTGAGATTCAGGGAATTGACTTTCAAATGAACTTGTGGAATGTGAGCAGGGGAATGACCACACACTATTAAATTCCACTTCATGGGCACATAGCTTACATAAGGCGCTCTGCACACCTTTGATATCCCGGAGAAAGACAAAAAAATTCTGGAAAGGAGAAAGTGGTCTTGTTCTTAAAAGTGGAGTTACAGAAAGTCCTCTACAAAGCATCACATTCATAATGTATAAAGCCAGGCACCAGTAAGAACAAAGGGTAACTGAGACTTGTGCTGCGTGGAACCTGTTGGGAACCAGCTAAGCCGTGTTTTTGGCATTTTTCTGGTGTTAAATAGGATTAAAAAAGAAAATAAGTACAAGAGGCTCTTTGGGAGCTAAATGTGAGGATCGAGAGTGGTTTATGAGGGGGACATCAAAAAGTCTGTGGAAAGATTCCATTACCTTTCAATTCTATTTTTCCACAAGCTTTTTGGAGCCCCCTTGTGTCTTATTCAGCATCAGGAATGTGATGACTACTTATATTGATTATCAAATTTGAATCCTGCGTTGTGGTTATTTGCAGATTTTTCGCCTCTCTGCTTTTAGGTTAGAAGCTACTTTGTGAGCTTGGGTGACATTTTAGTACATTTACAACCTTTTAAATTCTTCATAGGGAATCTTGAATACAAAGCAAACAGGATAGGAATAAAAGCCTGTTTTCACGTCAATACTATAATTTTTCTCAAATCAACCAGATATCTTGTTTGTGTGCATGCTCCCTAAGCACCACTCCTTAGAGTTCACAAAAATGATACCAATCTAATAGTTGCTGGGAATCTTTTAAAATAATTGTATTCTTGGTAGTGTTCCTGATGTGTGCCTCTCAGGGAAACTTAGCTGGCAAAACACTTGGCTGAAGTACACAGAGTCTGACCAGGTTTCATAACTCTGGAAGGTAGAACAAGCTAGAACATCATCGGAGGAGGAAAAAATGGGTTCCCAACATTCATTCAGGAATGGAAATGGGGGAAGTTCAAGTGTGATAAGTACATTGTTTTGCCAAGTCGGAAATCAAAATGCATACGTCTTTGATGCTGCAATTAACCAGAAGGTGAGTGGACAGTTGATGGCAGGTACCTATTTCCCTCATGGCTTACTAGAATGCTTGCAGTTTTCTATGTTTAACCCTGCAAGATTGGGCAAGTTCAATAAAATGGTCCAAACAGCTTAATTGGGAAATGTATTTATGATTAAAAAATTTTTTGCTCCAAGAGGGGAGGCCTACTTGAATTACTCACGCTGAAAAGCTGTGTTGAAACTTCTCTTCAAGAAGTGCTATTGAAAATACAGTCACAGCTGATTTTTACTTACAAGTCTGCTTTGTGTTAAGTACAAGCGAAAAGGTTCTGGTCTATCCTGACTGGGATGACTACTGATTACTCAAACACTGACTGGTTGCTAGGAGACAATTACCCAATGGCTAGGCTCTATGCAACTCTTCCTGCCAGAGTGCTAGAGGACCGTCCACATATTTGTCCCAGAGCATTTTTGGCAGCATCTTTCCGCACCTTCTGCTGTAAGCCAGTTAATGACGAGTCTTGTAAACTTGGGCCTTTCAACCACCTGCCTGCATAATAAGTACAGCCCACATGCTCAGACTTGAATGGCTAGGAATAGCTGCTGCTATTCTTGCTCATTCGCTTCGCTAACTTCCCATACCTCCATCTCAGGCAGCCAGCATGGACCGTGTGTGTGACTGAAACAGAAGTGGGGAACCAACAGGTTATACGACCTGGTCAGAAAGTTCTTTACACTGACCAGGGAATTTGTCAGCGTGGCCTAAGACTTTCATGCCGAGGCTCTAGGGCACGGCCCTGGGACAGTAGGGAGGGAGGAGGTATGCTGTGGCCGATGAGGAACGGGTCAGGTGCTGAGCACCTGCTGTGTGAAGGTGAGATGCACCCTGTTTCTACCCCTGAAAGCAGGTGTCTTGCTTTCCACTGGAAAACGGCTTTTCTTCTTTGTCTGCGTTATCCTTTTATCTAGTGCACGCAGGACTGCACCACTTTGCCTTTGTGGTTCCCAGGCGCCCCAGCACCTGCTGATGCCTATGCCCCGTGGCAGGTTTTCCACTGGTAGCTTTGTTTTTGTGAAAACAGCACTGTAGGCACCGCAGGGAAACTTGGCGGCCTCTTTTGGATGAAAAGAACATCAGGATTCCTTCCCTCCCTCCCTCCCCACTCCAGGTAAAGAAAAACCACTATACAATACACTAAACCAAACCACCCTTGGCTTTTGTTGCTCCCCCAGCCTTGGGCCCGTCTTCTGCCTTGGTGCTTAGCACTTCTCTTCTACGATGCTCTCCCTTGGGAGACAAGCCAGGCCTAAGAAACATAGGAAGTCTGCTGCCCATCTGAGGATGCTCCACCCTGGACGTGATTCACCGGGAGCTGAGCCTGGGGAAAGCCCCGGTGCACATGGCCGGCATCTGTGAGTTCCTGTTGGAGACACACGCGGCTCTTTGCCCCTCACTCTTCTTCTGAGGCATCCCCAAGAACCATTCTTCTCTCACTCCTGGATTCCACAGCTCCTTCTCCAGGTCTCGGGTTTACCAGAGCCTGCTGTGATCCCAACTCCACCTTTTCTCTGTCCCTAGCTGTCGACCAAGATGTCTTTGTGAGGAGTGTGGCATACCATGCACACTGGCCTTGGCCTTGGCTTCAGTGGGCATGCGCTGAATCCCGTGCTCTTCTCCCATTATGAAATCTCTGCTTGTTTTGCAGGAACCTGGCTCGAGCCGCTCCTCTTCCCAGTCGCTGCCTTCTCTACCTTTTTGCAGCTCTTGAAGCCCTGCTTTTGAATCTACCTCCTGTTCACAACAGGGAGTGAGCACTGCCCTCCAGGGCCTGTCCAGATGCCAAATTATATTAATTTAGCAAGCCCCATCCACAGGGTCTTATCTGTTTCTAACCTCTGCCCACCTTCTGGAGAAAAAAAATCCCTTAAAAATGATTACTATTGTAAAAATATCCATGTGTGGGCACCTGACCTCCTCTAACTTTTCAAGGGGGAAAGAGAATGGTGATTAGCATCAACCCCAGGCTGATTCCTTTGAAGAGGGGGTCACACATATCTCCATCCCTGGAAACTTTTTTAGATCTTCTAACACGAGCCAACCTGCCCAAGGCATTGTCTACTGCTCTGCTGTGCTGGATAATTTGTTGCAACAGCCACACAGAACTCATAGCTGTGAGGATTCAATAGGGAAGTAACTAGGTACAGTTCAGTATCAGGGCCTATTCTTCCATCGAGACACCCCCCTTTTCAGCTGTACACACACCAAGGTATTAAGCCCTTAAACACCATACTTATTTCCCAGACTTATTTGGCCTATTTTCAGGAGGAAAACCCCAAAAACGTTCTCAGCACCCCCTGGCAATTACAATCCCTTAGCCCAAGATAAAGTGTAGGTATCTGCTATTGCAACAACACCCCCCACCCCATCCCGGCCCATCGGTCATTCTAGCACCCCCCCTTGGGGGACACTGTGAAATACCTTCAACTTGGACACAGTGATGGCACGTGGACACACACGCATCCTGTGTTTTAGGAAGACAGGCAGACAAACAGTCGAGCACTGAGATGTGTAATTGTATCAGAGCAATGACGGATGGCCCAGAGACCATGGATAATGGCAGGAGTTTCCCTGTTTAGTGTCTGGAGGGAACGGGCTGTTACCTGCTGTCTTTGGTAGGCAGAGAACGTTCTTTCCAGGTCTTCCAGATCTAGAATTTTAAAGACTTTCGTATCATCGATTTCAGTCCAAACGGTTCCTTCCAATTTGTTCTGCAAACATCAAGTTTTATAGTTGTACCAACAAAGAAGATATATGGTTACCAAAAATGAAAATAAAAATAATTGCTGCCCATCCCAAATGATCTGTTCTACCAGATACTCAAAGTGAGCTGTTTGGGTAAACCATGAGTCACTGCGCCAGAAGCCGTGTCACGCAGGGATCTGAGCGGGTGAGGCCCCTGATGCCATATATGGGAAGACAGAGTCATCCGATGACAAGGACCATTCTCCTCTACGGCGAGGAACACCATGAGCTGCGTGCGTGCGTGCGTGCGTGCGTGCGTGCGCGCGAGCGTGCATGTGTTCTACTAGGGGAGAAACTGAACAAGCGACTCACCTCTGGCAACTTAGACCAGTTGAAGGATTTCAGGGCATTCGCGGGCTGAGGAATGTTCTTCTTCTTCAGTGCCAGACCCAGAGGCGCCCCAGGAGGTGGCAGGATCCCTCCTAGAGGAGGGGGTCCTGGGGGAGGCGGTGGGCCCCCTGGGGGGAGGGGTGGTGGTGGAGGAGGAAGGACAGCCCCCGACACGGATGCAGGAAAGGGCCCCCCTGGGGCTCCAGGCGAGGGTCCACCTGGGGTGGAAGCACAGACGGCCCTCTGCAGAGGCAGAAAGAAAACAGGAGGCGGTCAGTGCAAGGAAGAACTTTGTTTCCCATTCTGAGAGACTGCCACTTGGCCTAAAATGTGGGTTACAGAGAAATTCACACTTCTGAAAACATGAGTTTCTGGGAAACGCTTCGGGTAAGTGGACTTTGGGGGGCCTTCATGGATGCTATGACATGACGCCCTTTAAATTTGGGGGCCCAGCATTTATGTTCAAAGCATTCACAGCTCTCTCACTGCCTTCTCTAGCAGTTTGGTGTGGACAGGTCGCGTTGTAAGATGCTCATGTGATTTCTACTGCTCCTGTCAGAAGATCCGTGTGTGAAACGCTCACTGCAAATCCCCTCGGCCGCCTAACTACGCGGTCACAAGTCCCGTGACCCTTGTGATCGACCACACGACACATTTCAGATCCTGCTCCCCCCACCCTGTGAGCAGCTATCCCTGGGAGGATGAGGGGCTTCAGGGCAGCGAGGTGTGGGCGGCTGCTGTGATGCGAAGGCCGCCCTGGGCGGGCCCTGGTGCTCACCCTGCTGAGCTCCTGGAGCTGGGCCGTGAGGTCGGCCACTTGCTGCTTGACTTGCTTGTGCTCCGTGGTCTCCTTTTCAAGCTTCTCTTTCATCTTGTTCAGGGTCTGCATCATCTCCTCCTTCTCCTGGGTCTTGGCGTCACACTCCCGCTCCTTCTTTTCCAGCTTCTGCTGCAGCTCATTGTGCTCTGAGCACAGATGGGGGACAGGGGACAATCGGCTGTGAGAACAGAACCCTCAATGCCAAAGGAAACTGGACGGCTGGGGGGTGGCGGGGAGGGGGAGGGCGTGGTGGCTCCACATGAGGTGAATGCCATCTCCTTTCTCTAGCAAGGGGCTCGACTTTCTGGCTAAAAGGTGCTCATGCTTTGGGGGGGCCAGGAACGGGGAGCGGGAGGGGGAAGGTTTCAGGCAAATCATTTACTAATTGCATTTTGGAAAGAGTTGAAGAGAGCCATAGTTTAAAAAAGAAAGACAGACAGAAAGTGAGGGCTGGCTTGGGCAACTGTATGCCCAGGAGAATGGTGCCTGTGTGGAATTTCATCCACAATCGCGCCATAGACATGGTCGCCCCTTTCACACATTGCAAATGGGGGATGAGAGAAGTCCAGCTCTTGCGGGGTTTGCTGGCTCGAGTGGGACTCACAGAATGTCTGCCGAGCAGGATCCCTCGCTGTGAGGAAGAGCTGCTGCCAGCCCCAGTGTTTGTCCCCAAACAGTCATCTCCCCACCCCCCGCCCCCCAGGGTTACTTGGACTTGAAGCATTTTATGCCTCAGGCAAACAACTGTTATGCTTGTGAAGAGAGTGTTCAGTATCTGACACGTCAAGGCAGTGGTTTGGGTGGAGCAGGGGGATCGCGGTCATTGGGGAAGAAAATGACCCTCCGGCTGTCTGCCGTTTGACTGGCTTCCCTGGGCGCTGCTATTAGGGAATAGGGTTCCAATTCAACAGAGCATGTATTCACACTGTCAATAAATATGTGCTTGCCGATTCCAGCCGTGACAGGAAATGCCGAGCTTTGGAAAACAGAACGACTAAAGTTTAAGCTGAAGATTTTTACTTCAAATACTTGGCCCCAGTTCCTATTCTTTTTATATCAATAAACCCACTGGAGACATAGTCCGCTGGGGCAGAGCTATACGAACTGGTTTCCATTACTGAACTTGACCCCACATTCAAACCCTTTCCTTCTCTGTCTCTTTCTCTTCCCCCTCAAAATCAGAGGGTGCAGAGAGGGGCTCAAACTGCTAAATGCCTTGGATCGTATTTTCAACCTGGATATTGACTGAGAAAGCCACCAACGCACTTCTGTTTACTCAGACTTCTTCAGAGGGTCATGTAGAAATCACTTCGCTATATCCCATGTCATTTCTCTTTGACCATTTTGAAAACGGAGACCTTGCTTCTGTGGCCAGCATTAGCCTTTGGTAAACCTGGCTGTGCCTCAGAATCACCTGAGGAGTTTAGGTGTTTGGGGGACCCCCAGGTCCCACTCCACAGGGCAGGGCAGAACTTCCCAGTCTGTGGTTGCAAATGCTACTTGGAAGATCCTGTTACATTGCCAAGTTTGGTGACCTCCAGCTTAAAGGACTCGTCCCACAAATAACATCCGTTTACCAAGCATTTTCTGAGTTCTTACTATTCACTGGACGGACGAATGGACCCCAGTGCTTATGCTCTAAGAATTAAGACTCAACTGCATGCCCGAGTGCTCACGCTCTGCCTGGAAATGTATTGCTAAGAGATCCGCTCATCAGCAAGTGCCTCTTTGGTATAACAGCTCTTTGCCTAATTTTGAGTCAGTGCTTTGCCTGGAATTGGTTTGTGCAAATGCTTGGGCAGACTTCACCGATGTGGCAGCAATCTGAGCTCATAGGAGGCACCACAATCTGACAGGGCCTCCCACTGACACTTGTCTGCTGCCGGTGGCAGCTCTGCGTTTCTGCTCAGTGGAAAAGGACAAATGTGGGGAGAGTAAAAGAAGTGCTTAAACTTTTCTCGGCACCTCTTCCCAGCACACTGAACATGGGTGAGAACTGGTGTATTTCACTGGCTGCGCCTGCAAAACTTGGACAAGGAAAAGGAAGTCAGTTAACCAGCATGGTCAGAGCACAGGGGCTGAGGTCAAGTATGGCCATTTTCATAAAAGGGCCAGCTTAACTTGCTGGTATTTGGAAGGGAGAGGGAACGTTGTGTCCATTGCTGTGAGTGGCTGGTGCAGCAAAGGGCACACGGGTCCCATCTGTCATCTGATGCTGAGCAAGAACATCAGAGATAGGTGTGATCAGACCAGCTAATGTTTCATAACACAAATATCTGCAAAGGTCAGTAATTTTTCCTCTCGATTTCTGTTTACAACTGGTGGCAAACAAAGGGCAGGTGGAGAGTCAGGCTGCTGAAAACACACTTCCGGAGCTTCTCTTGTGGAGGATCACGATGCTGCCTAGTACCCAGTGCCCCTGACGGATCTTACTAACACCCAGTGTGGTTTACAGAGCAGTGATGACTCAGGGAGAGGGTTGGCGGGATTAGTAGGTAAGAGCATTTAAATGAAATGAATACGGAATAACATGCTTTTCAAAAGACTGTGCATGGCTCTGATAAAAGGATGTTTCTGGAAATCGGCATGACAACCAGAATAGCTTGCTTTCAGACAAGCCAGCACAGACTGTCCTGAAGACATCTTTAGAAAAACAAAGAAGAGAAAAGCTGTTGGATGCACCAACGTCAAGAAGAATCATTAATGCAAATTTCCGAAGCATGCAAAAAGCAGGACATGCGGGACCACCCGAGGGCAGGGCCTCCTTCTGCTCAGGCCCCCTCGCTTACCTTTTCTCATTTTTTCTGCTTGCTCTTTCCACTGCTTGACTTCATTTTCATTAACCAACCTGTACAACAGTTAAAAGAGTAGTCACTACAAAGATTAAAAAGGCCCACTGTCAAGTGCAGAGGTTCCCCGGTTCTCCACAGAACAGAACTGTGCTGCGGAGAAGATCCTGAGCCAGCTTGAAAGCAGTTTCAGTCCAGATGTGACTTAGATGTGTTATGCACGACTCAGGTTTGAACTCTAGAACGTGTCAGTTTTCCCAACTGCTCTTTTTAAATACGGCAAAATGAAAGCCTTACATCTCACAGGGAGCAAAGGAAGGAGAAACTTACATTCGTACAACATTCTTAATGTTAAAGTTTTCCAAAGGCGTGGAGTCGGGGTCTTGCCCTTTGTCGTTCTGGATAACTATTTGCTGTATAATTCTGTCGAGTAGTAGCCAGTACTGAACAGTGTTTCCACTTCTCTTATCTGAAAAAGAAAGTGATGGTGGAAAAGGATGAAGACATTTCAAAACAAGGATTCGTCTTTGGCTAGAGGGCTCACCCTTCCGAGGCACAGAACCAGAGAGCGCGTTACTGTGCTGGCACCAGGGCTTCCTGAGTTCTGACACCCGCTCATCATTAATTTACTGGGTGGAGGAGGACACTCTACCCCTTTCTAAATGTGTTGCAAGGCATGTATTTCTTTTGGATATTGAAGTAAATCACGAATCATTTTACTTGGAGATTTTCACAAGAAGCTGTGTGCTGACACGCATGGCGCTGTCACAGAACTCTGGCTTGGGATCCCTGGTCCGCACCCAGTCGACACAGCACTGTTCAGAAAGCAGGGCTCTTTGGACGTTGCCCAAACTTCCAAGCACACACGTGCAAACCACGAGCGCACTCACAAGGCATCTGGAGGCAGTGGTGTAGGATGGACATGAAGTGAGGGTAGGCTTCACTGTGCGTCAGCCGCTTCCGGGTCAGCTCAAACATCTGAGTCGCACTCTTTGTGTCGATGTGAACCTGTCTCACATGGAAAAGAAATCTCGGTCAAACATACAAGTTTCTCGATGCCCGCGGGGTGAGCAAATCCAAGGCAAACAGAAACTAATCCTGCCACTCAGGGAGCAGAACAGGGCTTTGATTCGGCTCCTGGGTTAACCCTGGTCCATGACAACTCTGTAAGACACATTACAAGGGGATGATAACCCTGGGAGCTGAGGAGTCCAATCAGAATAATTGTAAGCATACGTACCAGTTCAAATCTTTTGGCAAATTCTAGTTCGTCTTCATTTCGGAGCATTTCAAAAAAGTCTAAGTGCCTAAAAGATAATCAAAGAAAAGTTATTAAAGCTAGAACATGCTACAAAGACAGCAGATAGGAATCTGGACATTTATACAAGAGGGCTTCAAAAAGTGTGTGTGTGTGTGGGGGCTGGGAATGGCACTAAAAGATGATGGAAGTTTTCCATGACCTTTTTGAAGCCCCCTCATGCTAAAACTTCCTTACTTCTCAGTGATATCTCTAAAAGAAATACAACAAGATTTTATTGTCTTAACTGTGCTTTTTAAGGAAAAAGGCCATCAAGGAAATGAGATTTGAAAACCTCCCATGCCTAGCACATACTATCTATTACTGCAACCAAGCCAATTCTGGTTCTCAGTGACTCTATATCCACAGGGTTTCTCTCCAAGGCTGAAAATCTCTCCAACAGCCTCCTCTGTCTCCCAAGGAGCATCTGGTGACTCTGAGCATAGAGTTGGTAGCTCAACACTGACCCCACTGTGCCATCAGGATACCTCAGCATATGCTCAACATCTACTCAATTGATAAATGACACACTCGAGTGTCAACACAATGAGGTCAAGACTCTAGTCATGGCTCCCTTTGTGGAAAAAACAAAAACAAGCCCATATGCCATATGACTGACTAGCCACTGGATTAAAAGATCATAAAAAAATTTGTATCCCATTTGTTTATTCATTCAAATATTGATTGAGCCCCTCCTATGTGTTCTTCTACGAAGAGAGGGATATCCGAGTAAATGGAGTAGAGGATGCTGGGAAGTGAGGTGTGTGGCGTGCACACGTTTGGAAAAGGCCTCTTTGCCAGGAATAAGGGAAAGAGTCATTTTTACACGACTGTGGGATCTATGAGGAAATAACACATGCAAAGGCAAAGGCAAGGGTATGCTTGGCATGTTCACTGAATGCCAAGGACAAGCGCACGCACCAGTGTGCAACTGAGAAAGGGGAGTGGTAGACAGAGAGGTCTGAGAGGTAGTGGGACACTTTAGAAAATAGTAAAGTTATTATAAACAAGAGCAATTCAACAGAAAGATGAAAACATGCATGCCAAGTAATTCTACAGATTTTACAGCCAATTTCACAGCAGTCATTATCTGCATCATCACTATTACTATTTTTTAAGGCTCAGAAAATTTGAGTCACTTGGCCAGGATACATAGCAAGTAAGAGCCAGGTGTAGGATGTGGATTAGGCTTCATGCTAAAACCCATGGCAAGTTCTCTATACAAAGTCCTACTTCCTTTATCGAGACTATGGAAACTGAACTAACAGGACACAAGAAAGTCATGGGCTGGGATTTGGTGACATATGCACGACCCAACACAGAAAAGCCTGAGCTTTCTTAGTCTGACTTACCTGTCTAATGTAGAGTTTTCATGTTCTCTTAATTTATCTATTATAGGCTGAATTCCTAACATCAGAAATTCATAACGAAGATGAAGTCTAAAGTCCAAACTTTCCTGAAAACAAAAGGAAGGCAAAATATACATTTGTGATGTTTAGATTATTAAGTACCACTTTGGAAAATTATGAGGTACCAATGGATTTTATTTTTAATGGCAGTACAGAGGTGCTTACCACTCCTGCGCCTTGGCTTAGCACTGCATTGATGAAAGACATGATGGCAGTCTTGAGGCTCACTTCATCTCGATACCGCCCAGTACTTTTATCCAAGTCATTCATCAACGTCTAACAAGGAGAGGGATATCAACACAAAGGACAGAACCATTACTAACTGGATACTCATTACTTTTTCTATACTCACAAATTCATTTTTAGACCCGTGTTTAGCCAGAATCACATTGATCCAGAGAAAGCCATTAGTTTTTCCTAATGATTAGTCCTAAACACTCTACATTCAAAATGTAGCTATCATATATGTGTTCATGTATACATACGTACAAAGGACAGAAGGCTGTGCTTCATTGACTCTACTTGATTCGTATAGTTGAGTAACAACACAGTGACACCTCCCTGTTGAAAATGATCCTACATCGACTAGACCAACCTAGAATTTTTTTGTTTAAGAAAAAAATTTCACTTAATAGAATGGAAGGATGTGGGCTCTAAAATAGGAAGTAAGACAAAAGGCCAGACCAATCAGCTATAGAAAACGTACATTCTACTCTCTGGGCTGGACCCGAAGAGGAAGGAAATGCGGAAAGTCATAGTGTGGGGGATCACAGCAGGGGGGAACCTCAGGCTTCTTGGGGAGAAATTCGAGGGCACACCCACCTGGAAGCGGGTCCTTTCGCTGGCATACTTTTGGTAGTGCAGCATGGCCTGCAGAACCTTCTTGTGGCCCCCGGGAACCAGGCACACGGCGCCCAAGATTTCCAGCACAGCCACCTTTGTTTTAATGTTCTCTGTGCTCAGACTCTGAGCAATTACATTAATACTCTCAGAATGAGCCAACACATGAGCCCGGCCTTGAGAGTTGTTCATTAGGGCCTTTATACAGCCGATTAGAGAGGTATGTATCCGGGACTCCGAGGTCTCATAGTCCATGGTCTTCAGGAAGTTGAGAATGCACGACAGGCCGTCCAAGTCGATGAATCTTGTTACAAACCTGTTGAGACATCAGACTGAAATCCTTCTGGAATTTCGTAATATCCCAAAATGGAAAAATTGGGGGTGAGTCCCTGAAGAACTAAAAGGCTTTTGCTGTAAAGTTTTCTCAGTTCCCTGGCTTGTTCTTGGCATACAATATTTATACACAGTCAGGAGAAAAATCGCCATTTGACAGCAATAGATCTCATCTGGTACCAAGAACCAATGAGCTGGCCACGTGGACCACAGAAAATCAGGAGTAAGAGCACATTCAGAACACCTTTGCTATCTTGGATTAAAGTCATCTGTTGATTCTGCTATTGTACCATCCCATCTATATGTGCTGGCTACTGAAAGTCAAAGACTATCTGTAAACTCCAGGACACTGCTCGTCAAAGAAAAGAAATGATCATCTATTGTATGGATTGTGAGAAGAGTTGTATGAGCCCCTAATAAAACGATTATATATTTAAAAAAAGTTAAAAATCAATCTTTGTACAAAGAAACTTTGTACAAAAATGTTATCTTGCTTATAGGCGATTTTACAGGTATTGATACAAGTTAAAGCTGATCAAAATGTGTACTTAAAAAAAAAAAAAAGAAATCATCACCTATATCCTTAACTGTGTTGGTAGCAAGTTTTGTATGATGCCACATGGAATCCAACAATATAAGAGCAATACTTCATTAGTGAAATAACTTTTATCAATATTTATTAAAATACTCAGTCTAAAATCAATGAGGAGAATTCGCAATGTATATTTGCATGTTGCAGCCACTGAGAAGGTCAGAATGCATGTAACCTGTTTATTCAACTACTCTCGAATTTTCCAAACTTGTTTGGCTTTGGGCACCCGTGAACATCCGTCAATCTGAGGGAAACACAGAACAAGTTGGGATAAACTAAAAGACCCTGGGGTCATGCAGTAACATTGCACTTTTGATGGGCCAGCAGAATTTTGTCAGTCTATATTTTATAGTCAAATCAAGGAAAGGAATCATTATTTTCTATCATTTCACCCCGTCATTTGGCCTAGAGCTAGCCGCACTGGTTAAACCAATTGGCGTCCTTTACAGCACCTGTGCTAGTGAACTGTACCTTTAAGCAGCCCAAGAAACCACCAAAAATCTTGAGGCATTAGTAGAAAATGAAGGTGTGGGAGGTACACTGTCATAACGGATTCACCGTTGCCACAAAGTCTGCTCCTTTTAAAAATAAAAACCTGGGCTCTGATTCTCTCTCTCTCTCTCTCTCTCTCTCTCTCTCACACACACACACACACACACACACACACACACACACACACGGCACTCCCTTAAAGTGCACTATCCAGTGGCTTTCAGTTCATCTACTGCTGTCTGTACCCACGACCACACTTTCTCACTTGAGAACATTTTCATCACCACCTAAAGACCTCAACCCTCTACCTCCTTCCCCTTGGCAACACTAACTCATTTTTGGTCTCTGGGTTGGCCTGTTCTGGGGATTTTCCATAACGGAATCAGGCAGTAGGTGATCTTTCCTGACCGGTTTCTGAGGCAGCTCATCCGTGTTGTAGCACGCATGAGTACTTCATTCCTTTCCGCGGCTGACTGTATGGATCCATCACGTTTGGTTTCTCTGTTTATCAGCTCTCGGACATTTTTCACTTTGGGGCTATTTTGGATATAACAACTTGTGTACAAATAATGTGTGTACACATGATGACTTCTCTTGGGTATCTATGCATAAAATTCCTGCGTCATAGGATAACTCTATGTTTAACAATGTAAGAAACTGCGCAGTTGGTGTTCCAAAGTGGCTGCAGCATTTTACATCTTGACCACCAACGAATGAAAGAGGGCTTTGAATGCTAACATCTTCACCAACACATTACTGTCTTTTTAATTACAGTCATCTTACCGGTATCTACACCTCTTCTTCTGAAAGAAAATAAATTTATTGGATGTTCAGTGGTTAAACTCTCTCACTCATGGCTCACTTGCATGTTTTAAGTTACAGACTTCCTAGACGACCGGGCCGGGGCCGTGTGAGGTACACTGCCCACCCACCAGAGACGAAGTGTGCGAAGGGAGAGGGGAGGAGGGAGAAGGGAGAGCAGGGAGACTCTCGGTCCGCGCTCTGGGGAAAAGAAGTACCTCATGGGTTTTGTCCGGAGTGCCGTCTTCAAACTCTCTATGGTCTTACTTCTCTCTTCTTCCTCTTCCTTCTCTAAAGCCAGAAGAGACTTTCTCTATGGAGAGAAAACTCAAATTACTTTCACAAATTCCAGATTTTTTGTTTGTTTTGGTAAAATTAAAACAAACCTACAATGTATAGATATATCTTTGATTCAAATAAGCAATGAAGACATCTATGACTAAGACTGTAAGTCAAAATGCAGAGTAGCAGACACCACGAATCCCACAAACTCATCGTCCATTTTAAAGTAAAGCTTTAAGGAAACCCTTAGAAGTCTTCATGAGCAGAGACGCTACCCACATGTCTGTATAAGTGGTCTACAACTACACTCTGGTGTAGTGGATTCTACGACTAGACTTGTAGTTGAAAACATCATCCTGTTGATTACAGTCAATAGCACTATAAAACAGGGGAGCAGGCAGCACCTGGCCCCCCTCTCTCCCCCATCTTTTAGCTGAAAGTATGACCCGGACCAAGAGGTTGTTACACTGAATTATTTTTTTAAGGGGAATAATTAAACTGGACCTGATGTGAAGATGAAGTCTAGAATCCATCAAACTTAGAAATGATTTGGAAGTCGGGATGTGTGTGTGCGCGCATGCACCTGAACATACATGTATGTGAGTACGGGTGCATCATCTCACCCAAGGATCTGCCAGGGCAGTGCCCCTCAAGTGTGCATACTGACAGAATGGCAGGAGCACCCTGCTACAGTGCAGGTGCTGATGCTGCATGTCTGGTGTGCGGACTGAGAGACTGCATTTTGGACACGCTTCCAGGCCAAGTGGATGCTGTAGGTCTTACAAGCTTTACTTTGAAGAGCCAGGCTCCTAGTAAGCAGATCTAATGTGATAGATTTAATCTAAGAGCACAATGTATTTAATAAAAGCATAAAGACTAGTAAGGTTTAGATCAACCACACCTACTGCTTGAGTCAATTCCAACTCATAGTGGCGCCTCTGTAGAGTTTCCAAAATGACACCTCTTTACTGAAGCAGACAGCCTCATCTTTCCCATGGAGCGGTTGGTTGGCTGCTGACCTTGTGGATAGCAGCCCAACAGCACCATTGGGGCTCCTTAGCAAGGCTAAGAGATGTGTTCTACTCCTCTTCCTCCCATGATAATCTCTACATTAAAACTCTCCTCTGTCTATGCTCTCAGGAGCCTCCACCCAAGAGCTACCAGATCCTTCCCTTCATCGTACTCTCACCACATGCTTCTTGACTTTCAATCGTATTGCCTGTGAAGGAATCAGATAAAAGATTTGGCTGGGAAACAGGCTGGGTTGATCTATTTTAAAAGGTTCTTTTGGTACTTATTATCTTTGATCAACAGTATCAGTATTACAACTAAGCCTGCATGTGGCTTCACTGAGAGGAGAAGGAGGGTAGAACCCGAAGCACACCACCCATCAGTGTCATTTATGACAACTGACATGAAAATCGTGGGCTCTCTGTTCAACACTTAATTGTCTCTGCTAACGCTGTCTTGTTGCTAGTGATGGGTCTGGACAGCTGTCACCCGAGGACGGTGGTGGAAGAAGCTGCATGCAGAAATAGTCAGTCAATTCCACCCCGGCCGCGTGAGACCCATCCACTGGGAAACCCAGCAGAGTAGAGCTAATCTCCTGTGGCATCACTGAACTAGTTTAGAATCTCAAGGAATCACTTTGAAGCTGCAATTCACAACCAAATCTTTTATGAATACCATCACTTGTTCCTAGGCTTAATTACACAAACCTAGCCAAAATTTAAGGATATCCTAGCGGCACAGTGATATAAACACTCAACTGATCAATGAAGGGCTGGTGGTTTCCACACACCAGCTGCTCTCGCCACTGGAGAAAGGTGTGGCTGTCTGCTTCTGTAAAAGTTACACCCTTGGAAACCCAATGGGAAGGTCTATTCTGTCTTGTGAGAGGGCTACAGAAGCTGATGGAAACTTCCATGATCTTTTAATGTGTTTCCCCCACCAACTTGTCGAAGGCCGCTCGTGTCAGGTCACTAAGGGTTGGGATAGACCCAATGGTCTTCAATTTGGAACCAAGTCCTTAGAACTGCACGCATTTCTAATGGTGGGTCACTAACAGCTGGTAAGGACATCTATATTTATTCTCTACACAATCTTGATGAGGATAGATTGTCTGAATAAAGGCATTCTACATTAAGCCTCTCCCTAGCAGAGTTGAGAGATTTATGAAATGTCAAAGAAAATTAAAGTACAATTTCCTTTCCTAATATTAGAATGGAACATTACCTTTCTCTGAAAACAGGAGAGACTATAACCCTTTTTTTTTGGTATGCGATTCACAATTAGATTTGGATCTAAGATTGAATTTTTTTATATTAAGAAAATCAAGGCTAGATGGGTCAACCTGACATCCTAAGATGACTTCAAAATAATGTATATGAACTCTCAAGTTTTCAAACTTCAGTATTAGCAGGAAGGCTTAGCTTGCACTGTTTAGCAATAAGGGGATATGCTTGCATTGCTGATGATGACTCACCAGGCAAGATATCTAGTGTGCACCTTGGCACTGAGGGTCAGAGAAAAGGGCAAAGCCCCGCAGCGAGATAGACTGACGGACGCAGCAGCTTCAACAGTGGACTGAGACGCAGCGAGTGAGAATGGTGCAGGGCTGAGCAGGGGTGACGTGGCACTTGGAGCTGCCTCGGGCTGGAGGGACTCATGCAATGGCACTGACTAACCGCCGCCACCCTGGCTTTTGCTGCTCTCGGCCCTGACAAAGGAGTTTCTGGGAAGTACAAGGGACCACTCACTGCGAGGCTGGAGGTTGAAGGCCATTCAGAGGCCCCCTACAAGACAGGCCTGGAGATCTGCGGTTGAAACTTCAGCCAGCAAAAACCCTCTGGGTCAGTGTGAAGCCCACGGCCCACATATAGTCACCGGGAGTTGAGATGGAATTTGACGGAAATGGATTTGCACTTATGCAAGCAGTGGGCAAACGACAGAGCACACTCGGCCAGGGGACCTCCGGTCAAAGATGAAGGAGACACGAGGGCACGTGGGGCTATGCCCAGAGCAGGCACATGAGTCGGCCGGGGTGAACTCTGGAACCAAGTCCTGCTTTAAACATGGCCTTGTGGAGGGAGAAATAAGCCGGAGCACTAAGTACACTGCCGTCCCCGTCACATCCCTCTTGCTAGGGACCACGGAGTAGCTGCATACAAAGCAAGCCCAGGTCCTTCTCAAACCTGCTAGACGGCACTCTTTTATTAGACCATTTCTTTCACTCTCTGAAAGCCCACAGATCACTCAGGGGCCCTTTAAAGAACAAAGCGTTCTTGTTCTGAGGCTTACACAAAGTAACTGAACTTGTTCCACAAATGGCTTCCCAGACCAGTAAGTGCTGCGGTTCTCAACCAGGATCAGTTACCACACTCCTGAGGCTTTAAAGAAAACACATGGTTGCCCAAACCTCAGAACCTTGGTAGACCAGGGCGGGGGTGAGGGGGTGGAGGGATGGGGTTACCGGGTACCTTTTACAAACCCTTGGGTTTTAACAACTGTGTTAGTAATAGCACACGGAAAGGGGATGATAGGAGGTGGGAGAACCAGAATTCAAACCTACCAACAGACTTTAAACCTCGAGCGAGGTCACTTTTGTGGTTCAGATTCCTGATCTATATAAATAGCACAATACCCACATTGGTGGGTAAAGTGGAGAGGGGCATCAAAAAAGAGGAAGACCCTTGATGAGATGGGGCTCAAACATCATACCGTATATACTTCAATATAAGCTGACCCGAATACCAGCCGAGGCAGCTAATTTTACCACAAAAAACGGCATTAAAAACATGCTGAAAAACTCGGCTTATACCCGAGTCTATGCAGTACCAATGGTGAGGATGGCGCAGAACTGGGCATTGTTTCCTTCTGTGGTATATAGGGTCCCTGTGACTTGATGGCATCTAACAACAGCAGAGCACTGGATGCTTAGAAGGATTAAAACCCACATGTAAAGTGCCTGCTATTCGGCTGTCACATGACGTACATTCAGTAAGCAGTGGTCGCACTAAAGCTGCAGACAATGGGGGATAACCTGGTGCACAATGGATGGCGGCCCTTCAACAACTCCCCTAGAGCCTGGGATTTATAGGAACTGTATGCTTGCTCTACCAGGCCCTAGGACCCAATCCCTCACAGTATTGTGTTGCTTTACATTCAACTACACAGTTTTTGTTTTCTCTACAGGGATTAACCAGAACTACAGGAGGAGGAGGAGAAACCCTGGTGATCCTGTGGGTTATGCTTGGGGATTTTAACAAGGTTGGTGGTTCAAACCCACTAGGAATTCCAAGGGAGAAAGAGAAGGCTGCCTGGTCCCTTAAGAGATTTACAGTCTATACACATAGGGTTGCCAAGAGGTGCACAGGGGCCCTGGTGGCATGGCGGCTATGCGTTGGGCTAAGATCTGCAAGGTCTGCAGCTCAGAAACACCAGCTGCTCTGAAACTCAGGGGCAGTTATACCTGTCCTATAGGGTCACTATGAGTCAGAATTGGCTCGATGGCAGTGAATTCGAAGAGGAGCCATCATGGGCTAGTGGGCCATGCACTGGGTGCTAACCATGAGGCCAGGAGTTTGAATCCACTTGACACTCCATGGGAGAAAGATGAAGAAAGTTATAGTCTCAGACAGCCGAAGGGCAGTTCTCCTCTGTGCTGAGGGCCGTTAAGAGTCGGCATTGACTCCATGGCAGTAGGCAGGCAGTAGCAGAAAGGGGAAGTGGCAGCAAATATGGCAGAAAACGCACCACAGTGTTTCCGGTCTGGTCAGGCCTCCTTACGGGCTGCAGGAGTTTGGAGGCCGCGTCAGTTCATGGGCTGCTGTTGCCTTTGAATGAAGCGGACACAATCTGGAGCTTTAGGAAACCGTGTTACGTGTTTAAACAGCAAAGCACACTCAAGGCACTGACAAGGCAGTCCCCAGGAGATGCTCTTAGGGAAGGACTCTGGATTAAGACCCAAGCTGCAGACAATGAAAGAAGACAACAAAGCATTGCCCAGGGGAAGCGGGACGATGGAGAAGGAAGCGCGCCATGTACTGGCACATCACAGATGCCCCAGCACAGGACTAAGCCAGGTCTACTCCAGACAAGGCAAGAAGGGCAGGTCCCTGATAGACAAATGCATCTAACTGTCCTCAGATGGAAAAATCCACAGTGCTTTGTTCTCCATTGATGGAAGGGAACTCACTAACCGAAGAAGCAACTTCTCTTGTTAGACTTCAGACAATGCTGACTTAATTAGAACGAAAGTCAGCCAGCCTGGCAGTTCTTTTTTTTTTTTTTTAATTTAAAACATTTTTTTCTTTTTTAAACCCTTCACAGCCAACAGGGAGAATTCAGAAAATAGCCTTCAGTGCAGGCAGTGTAACAAGCTCTAAAATGATGAGTGGTTAGATGGACCCACAGAAAATTCCTGATGGTCAAGCCAAATTTCACATTCTGTTAGCATCTTCCTACAAACGCTGAGGTCACCCTTTTCTCATCTTTGGCAATGTGCAGGCAGGCTGCCTCGCAGGAAGATTTGATGAGTGCTCTCTGTTCCTTACTGATCTGCTTTTTAGCTGAGAAGCCCTCAGGGAAAACACGTAGTTTCTTTGAGAATTTATACAGCCTTGTTCACATTCACCAGGCTGTTTATTATTCACTGTAGGACAGCAGGAGGTGTACTTTCAGAGAAAAATGCTAGAAAAGAGGAAGTGACTAAACTTCAAGGTCCCTGAAATTTCACAAAAATAGGAATGGCTTTGCCGCAGCAGCAAAATCCTGGACCATCTGAAATGTTTGCTTTTAAGTGATAAGCACACTAATCTTCCATGAGGACTTTGGGGAAGGCAGGGAATAGAGAGAGAGAAAGGTATAATGGATGCTGTCATCCACTTGGATATTTATTTTATGCTCAGAGTTGACTCTAATGGGTTGACTATTAAAATTGTGAGTGTTGCCTGTTGAGGCAGTCTGCATGCCAATGTGGGCTGCCTCCAATTCTTATCAGCCACAACATCCCATAAAGCTACTACGGCTTAACGGCTGATGATCTGTTTTCAACCTCATCCTTTAGCTGTGATCAACAGGTGCCTGTTGTCAAGTTGCTTGTAATGTAGACAATGTTATCAGAGTTCATACGGTTTAGACACGGGGAATATATTTTAATCAATTAATGAACCAAAAATCCTAATGTCTAATCCCCTTACAGAAGGGTCACAAGGAAGAGACAAGTCAGTCAGGGTGCAGTATAGCACCAATGAAACATACAACTTTCCTCTAGTTCTTTAATGCTCCCCTCCCCACTATCATGACCCCAATTCTACCTTACAAATCTGGCTAGACCAGAGAATGTACTCTGGTACAGATAAGAGTTGGAAACAGGGAATCCAGGGCAGACAAACCCCTCAGGACCAATGATGAGAGTAGCCATACCAGGACGGTGAGGGACAGGTGGGGGGAGATAGGAGGAACTGATCACAATGATCTACCTATCACCCCCTCCCATGGGGATGGACAACAGAAAAGTGGGTGAAGGGAGACATCGATCCATGTAAGACATGAAAATATAATAATTTATAAATTATCAGGGGTTTATGAGGGAGGGAGGTGGAGAGGGAGGGGGAAAAATGGAGAAGCTGATACCAAGGGCTCAAGTAGAAAGAAAATGTTTTGAAAAGGATGCTGCCAACAAATGTACAAATGTGCTTGACACAATGGATGGATGGATGGATTGTGATAAGTTGTACGAGCGCCCAATAAAATGATTTTTTTTAAAGGAATAGAAATACCATATGTAAAAACAAATCCGAATGTCCAATATTTCCCAAGGACACCTCAGAGCCATTATTTTCATTATCATTCCTTTTCATTAAACCCGCCACTCCATGAGCACCTGGTTATGTTCATGTGTAAACGAGCACCTTATTGCTGTTGTCAGGTGCCAACAAGTCGGTTCTGACTGATAGGGCCCCATGTACGACAGAATGAAACACTGCCTGGTCCTACGCCGCCCTTGTGGTAGTTACATAATCTGGTGTCACTTTGAAAGGATTACAAGTGAAGGGGTGGAGTCTGGCCTGTCAATCAAGATATAACCAATGAGGCTTCTGTGTGGGCCTGGCCTGATCCTGAGAATTATGAGAACTCCTGGATTTCCTCCTTGGAGTCAGGAGACTCTCTCTCTGCTGCTTACTCCCTGAGAGATGCTCTTCTGACAAGACACTTGGTGCTATGCCCTGGGAGCTGGAGAAGCCACATGGACATACCCTGATACAACCAGGTCTCTGGAGCTGGAGAAGCCACGTAGAGACCCCTGCCAGTGCTGAGATGATTACCACCACTGGATCTACCAGACTTCCAACCCACTGGCCTGTGACCCTCCTGCATTCAGCATCATTGCATGTATTTCGTGAGTCTGAAGAGGACTTTAGGACCACCATAGTGTCCAGCAAAAGCAAGAACCAGGAACTGGCAAGTCCCCAGGCAGGAGGAGAATGGGGGGAGATGGTGCTGGAACAGTTGAATTATACTACATTGACATGGTATTAACTTTTGGAACACTGCTGCCAGGCCAGAGCGCCAAATGATCGGCAGGCAAGAGCAATTGCAAGTTGAAAGTTGAACACAGGCCAGATTTAAGATTACATTTCCTCTTATAACATTAAACTCACTTATATTTTAGTGTGTGCTGATTTTATTTAAGACATACTGGAAAAAGCATTTTGCCAAGGACCACTTCTGCCCTCTGTCTTCCCCCTGTGCTGAGAGCTGCAAATCGAGTTTGGAAAAGCAATGCCAGTGGGTTGTTCTTACACAAAACGAGTTTATTGTGCAACTGTGTGTTCTGCACTAGACTGGCATTTTAAACTGTGTGTCAAAGAACATAAGGTATACCTACAGCAGCCATGGAGTTCAGCTGATCGATGTAGAATTCAGGCCAACTTGTAGCTCCCTTGTTTTCTTCTTGGTCCTAAAAGGAAAAGAAATGAGTTATATACCACAAGATACACAAATACAACAAGCATAAGCACAGCTGACTTCCAGAGCATCTCCACGATGGCCTACAAAAACCACCAGAAGACGCTGTGATCGGAGAAACTTGTTTTGAACTGTTGGCTTTAAGGCATCGGGATGTCCATTTGACTAGAGTGGTCTTTCTGATCCATTTTCTTGGGGCATGTTTAAGAAGTAAGTTAGGTGTGACAAAGGGGATAATTTCTGGTCATGGGCCAAAGGCAGTTTAAATGGGAGCTCGCCACACCATGTTGTAAAGGTACTGAAACGAAAACACTTTAGTCCTAAACCCACCTTTTAAACCATGAACGTTTGCGAGTTTACATATAAAATGCAGTGAGCTGAAGAGGGAAAGAATTGAACCTAAGGAATTTGGGAACTGATTCCTAAACCACACCAGCCAGTTTTGCATCTTACAAACCAGGGATATCTGGAACTAGTCTCAGTGCTCCGAGGCTTCTGTGGATGGAAGGCTGTGTTGGCCTGAAGCACACCTCGAAATCCAAGAAGGAGCTGTAGCCTCTGCTCCTCGGGGACTTACACACACGCTTGCAAGCCTATGTGGCTACAAACCATGGGGAGATCCAGACAGACTGGAGGTGACTCGAAAAGGACAACGTCGCTGTTCTCTAGCCTCACACTCAGAAGGCAATGGATACCCCAGCCCAGCCCCGCCCACCCAGCCCAGCCCCGCCCAGCCCAGCCCAGCCCCACCTAGGAGAAGGTGCTACCTCACAATGAAGTACTTACTACTATTTTGTTTTAGCAGATCATTTAGGAGGTGGAAACAGCAAAGTACTCTGCAGAGCAGAGAATTCTAGTCCCTGGCACAGTGGTTTGAGACTGGGCTTTTCATTTCTGTCTTAGATTTCACTTCAAAAAAACCCCACAACGGCCATCAAGCTCAGAAGCAACAAAGCCCACATGGAAGAAGCACACCAGCCTATGCAACCACGAGGTGTCAAAGGGATCAGGTGTAAGGCATCATCAGAACAAAAAATCTTACCATAGTGAATGATGGGGGTAGTGCGGAGTGGAGATCCAAAGCCCATTAGTAAGCCACTGGAGATCCCCTTGCAGAGGGGTCTCGGGGAGGAGATGAGCCAGTCAGGGTGTGATGTAACAACGATGAGAAATACAACTTTCCTCTAGTTCCTAAATGTTTCCTCCCCACTCCCACTACCATGACTCGAATTCGATCTTGCAAGTCTGGCTAGACCAGAGGAGGTACACTGGTACAGATAGAACTGAAAATACAGGGAATCCAGGATGGATGAGCCCTATAGGACCAGTGGTGTGAGTGGCAAAACAGGGAGGGTAAAGGGAGAATGGGTAGGAAAGAGGAAACCGATTACATGGAACTGTGTGTGACCTTCTCCCTGGGGGACAGACAACCGAATAGTGGGTGAAGGGAGACGTCGGACAGGGCAAGATATGACAAAATACCCATTTATAAACTATCAAGGGCTGATGAGGGAGAGGGGAGCGGGGAGGGAGGGGAAAAATGAGGACCTAATGTCGGGGGTTTAAGTGGAGAGAAAATGTTTTGAGAAACGATGTACAAATGTGCTTTACACAATTGATGTGTGTATGGATTGGGATAACAGTTGTATGAGCCCCTAATAAAAGGTTAAAAAACAAAACAAAACCCACAAACAGCACTCTCTTTAAGCAAAGCTCACCAGGTAAGTCTACTGGGATGGAATAATGGAGGCATGACTTTAAGATGATTTTTTTCCCAGTAATCACAAACAGGGCACAAAGTACCTACTGCTGATAAAGGAGCTAGTGCCCTATAAGCTGGGTGACTGATCTGAACTTGGACCGTTGCATGGATTTCATCTGGAGACCGAATGAGCCAGGTGATAGGGACAAAGTGGTGGTTCTGAAGTTAGACTAGGTTACACTTCCGTGGCTTTAAACAAGTTTAGGAAATCTGATGAGTTTTAGAACAGCCCTTAATGACAGTTTAGCAAGTTAATAAAATAGTTAGAATGGTAGTAGAAGTGCTGAACTGTTCTCTCCTCTTAAAATGGGGTGTTAAGTTAGCAAAATCTCAGTTACCATTGCATTGAACCAGCCAAAACTCACAGTGATGTTCAATGGTATTTGAACCTATAAAATAAAATTATGGGTGACAGACATTTCTAGTTCTCAAATAAGGGCAAATTTCCAAAGCTAAAACAAAATCAGGTCCCCTGCCCGTAGCCCCATGAGTGCCTCCTCTAAGCTTAATTGTCGTGGTTACAGAACAGAGATCATTTTAGAGGCTGAAGATCAATATGTAAAGAAACATCTTACCACTTTGGAAAAGTCATGATAATGTCAACACAGTAAGACTAAGCCCAGTTACTGTAGTCAAAATAAGGGGGAGAACTGCACCTTAATTATACATGCTTCAGTGCTAAGAAAATCAAATGAGCTAAGGTATGTGAAAGCAGCCTGTAGATGTACTAACTACTCTCACTGCACGTGGTGGGGAGTGATCCTCCGAGTTCTCCGCTTGGCAATGCAGCCCTGGGCTCCCCTGTGCCACTCCCGGCCTTCTACGGGGATGTGCGCAGTAGCTAAGTGGACACACATCCTTGAAGTAGTTCTGCCCTCCTCCAGGTGGCTGTGAGTCTGTAGTTCTGCAAAGGCATAGGCCAGCGGAAATGAATGCAATTGGCCTGTGGGGATCCCATAAAGAGCACTGAAAGGTGTGTAGGGGGGGAAGGGGGTTAGGGTGGGGTGTGTGTGTGTGTGTGTGTGTGGCTCTCCCTAAACGTCTAGGAAAGAAACTGCTGGCAGAAGTCTAACACATACGGACTTCTATAACTTGTCTTACTCTTTACGCACCAATCTCATTCTATTTATTTGGTATTAGAAAACAGATGGAAAAATACAGAAGAGTCTATCAATGATATTACCGTAGTGGTAACGGAAGCAGCAGAATCTCTAACATCCTACTCCAAGCACTGCGCTCTTCATTTACTCTTTCCCGTGAGTTGGCTGCCTATGTTAGAGAGGGCTCAAACACCACCACCCATGGGGTAGGGACTCTACCCATTTTACGAAGGAGGTCACGCGCACCTAGAGGCTAGGTGAACCACCAGAGGTAATTACTGCTAGAAAGTCCAAGGCAGCGGGAGAGCATTGGGGCACTCTCTTTCCTAAGCAATAGACATTAAGTGCAAAACTGGCTTTCACTCTTAACTACCTCATATAACAGAATTCAAACATGGCTAGGGCCAAACATGAGTTCATCTTTCCCTAAGCCTCTTGCTATTTTTGTTATAAACAACATTTCTGGTAATTATTCCAAGCAAGAATACTAGCTCCATTTTATTCCTTAAAACATATATATATTTTAAATACAGATGGTTGGTACCAAGAGAAAGCTATCCTGTTGATATATAAATTCTAACATCCACATTAAACACTTTTTAATTCTATACACACAATGGAAAATTTCTATTAAAGCCTATTTTTTCTTGAATATGCTACAGCATTACATTTATATACCTATTTGCTGAAGGTTTTGGTTTTATTGAATTGGAATTGTTTGAGCAAGTTTGAATATGTCTGGATTTCAATCTCCAATATTTGTTTCTAAAATCTGTACACACGTTTTAAGCGTCTAAAATCCACTGCCATCCAGACTCCTAGTGACCCCAGGAAGTCGAGCCGAGCTGCTCCATAGGGTTTCTTTCCCAGGCTGTAAACCCTGGTGGAAGCAGACTGTCTCGTGTCTCTCCTGTGCAGAGGTTGGTGGGTTTGAATCATAACCCTACTCTTTACCTACTACACTGCCAGGGCTCCTTCTTCAGAGTCCATATACAGTATACCTCTGGAAGGAAGATGTTGTAGAAAACACATCTACTGTTGTAATTTGATGTTCCGATTTCAAACATCAGTCCATGTACGTGAGGGGGCTTCAAAAGGCTAGTGGAAAATGCCATCCTCTTTCAATCCCATTTTTCGATAGCCTTTTGGGAAGAAGCTATGATGGCGCTGGGGGTTAGATGCTGGGCTGCTAAGGACAAGGTTAGCAGTTCAAAGCTGCCATCTTAAGATGAGGCTTACAGTCTCAGGGATCCTCGCTGGGGTCACTTGAAGTCAGCATCGATAGTAGTGGGCTTTGTGTATAAACTTTTGGAGGCTCCATGTATTAATAATGTATGCTGTTCAGACACAGTTAATTTCCAATGGTGCTTTGTTTGCATGGTAGTTGAAGGAACACTCCCACGTTGTTGTTGTTGTTTTTAATTTTGCTAATACAACATTTCCTTTTCCTTTGTAGGATAAATAAACATCGCTGTCAATAGACAAGAAAAAATGCCTGCTAGTAAAGGGAACAGGTAGAGAAGGGAAAGAGACTTTAAAGGGCAATGACAACTTTATTGTTAGTAGTTATGCCAGGCTTTGATCAGATAAGTCACGGTGCTTGTGCTTAACGTGGCACAATTGCCAAGTGCCAGGCTGCTAAGCCAAAGGCCGTGGTCTGAACCCACCAGCCATTCTGAGGAAGACGCATGTGGCAGTTGGTGTCCATTAAGAGTACAGCTTTGGAAACCCTGTGGGGTGCTTCTACTCTTATTAGGGTCACTGGGTGTAAAAATGCATAACACCCACAGTGTCTGCTCAGTGACTGTGAACAGGTTTCGAATGATCTTCCCCTACCTGCTTTAAATCACAGCACTACATTTATTTTCTTAACATACCACTGCCCATGAGAGTATGTTTTGCATGGCTTCTTAGATTGCAGTCTCTGTGGAGCAAACAGCCATGGCTCCATCACCAATGCCATGCTGACTGTGCTCTGTGTCGTCCATCACCACGTGAGCACATGCACCAGCTATGTGGCTGTTAAGCAGGCAGGGGAAGTAGCGTTGTGACTCAGTTTTAGTGTACTTATCTGTGAAATTGATGCCTACCTCATGGTTCCTGGGAGAATTTAGTAAGTTCCGACTCACA